TTTTCCTAACAGAAACATTCACAAACACTTTCCAAGAAAGGTTTCTGCTTCCTAAAGGAGGTGGTCAGACACATAAAACTAGCTGGTGGTGTAACTATTTTTAAGCTCTCAGAATGCTGGACTATTTGCTTGTGCTTAGATACTCTTTTTCTTGCTTTCGGTTATGTTAAAAATAATGGTGACAATGTTGTTACTGGCAGCAATCATTTAATTCATTGTGAACAAGAAGTAAATTTGTTAGAATTTTCTCACTGTAAACTGGAAGTCACATTTAAGATAAAAGAAGGAGGGAAAAAGTCTTAAGATTAAATGATAATGTTACTGGCTTCCTCTGTCTGTATTTCTATTATTTCCTTGTGCTTATACTTTGCCATTCCAGAAGTCAAGGAAAAGCCTTAATGGGTGAAGAAGTCTGCTCAGATCTCTGACCTTGTCAAGGAATTCCCCTCTCAGGGGAGGAAACTATCACTATGAAAGTACCTCTATCCTCCATCTCTCCAGCCCTTTATTTGTACACTTATTTTGACACTATAATAGTGTTACTATTTCTCCTCACTTAGAATCTATTCCCTTGCCCTAGGCCTTGACTTCCTGGCATTTTGCCCACTACTAATTCAAGTTCAAGTCCAACTGCCTTCGATGGCTTCTCCAGCAGAGGCCCCTCCTTGGAAAAAAAGAAAAAACATACTAGTAAATTTAAGAGTCTTTGCAAAGAAAAAAGTAATTTTTTAATTATGGTAACTGTGCATGTGATCCTAACAATAGACATGGGTGATTCCAACTTGGCAGAAATTGAAGAAACCAGAAAAGATAAATTTTGACTCTGGCTCCCAAGAAAAGGAAATGCCAGACCAGCCTCTGGAAAATAGAAATGACTTGAGGTACCATGGATCCACAAAGAAAAATCAGGCCTTGCTGTCAGGAGGGGCCAGTTTTTGGAAAAAGACATCCTGCTGGGAAAGGTGGCAGGTCCGAGAGAGGAAGACCCTCACCAAATGGATGACACAGTGAGTGTACCAAAGGGCTCAAGTGTATGAGAGACAGTGAGGATGGCGCAGGACAGGGCAGTGTATAGGGCTGTTGTTCATATGGACGCTATGAGCTGTGGTCAACGTGCCAGCACAAATAAGCATGTGAAGTACTGGGGGGAGAAAAAGTGCACGGGGCCCTGACAGAGGGAAGTCAGTGAAGGGATTTCACCAGCAGTGGAAGCTGAGCCTAGATCTCCAGGGCTGAGGGGCTTACGTAAGGCAGCTTTCACTTACCCACGTGAAGGACTGCACTGCCATGAACTAGAAAAGGAGCCCAACTTTCTAATTCCAAATAAGCTGAGGGTATATTTTGGATTCTTTGCTATCCAGTAGTATTGTGATTTAGCATTGTTCTTTTACCTCCAGGAAACCTTCAATAAAATGAGAACACTTTTAAACAAGAGACTTATATTTCCCCTTATTTCCGAGGTTTTAAATAAAACTCCTTACAAGCCTGGTAATTAATCCCAATTTGAATTATCTTATCCCCCTCTTGCCTAATATATATAATCACATGGTGGTGCCACTTCTTACTGAAACTGTAAGGTTTTAGGCAGAAAGTGTTACATTTTGATACAAGGGATTAGGGGTTTAATGGTCATTTGGGTGGTCTTTTTTCAGTGTTGACATAATTGAAAAGGCTCATTACAGAACTCTAGGAGGTGGGAAGACAAGATTTGGAGGCCAGTGTGCTACCTCATGGTACCCACTGTCCAAGCACTCAGCCCTCTTGTTACCTCTGCCAATACACCAGAGCTGCTGGGAATGAAGCAAGCAGAGCTCCTTGCCCAGCTCCTGGATCTGTGCCCTTTTGTGGCTGGGTTGACTTGGCTGGGTTTTTACTCATTTATCCTTCCTTTATAAAATCAAGGCTGTAACGAGATGACCACCACTTGCTGTTTCCATCTTTCCTGAGCAACAAAGGCAGTTCATAGAGTTCAGTTCTCTAAGACAGCTCCTCTACACATTGTGCTTGTTTTCTCATCTATGAAGAGAGGAAGGGAGAGAACAATCATTACTATGATGTCAGTGGAAAGGCTTCCTTGAGGATAGTCTACATAAATAGGGCAGAAGGCTGAACTCTCTCACAACCTTCAGCGCTTGGATTTGAATGAGTCTGAGAACCCTGAATAAGCTGCCCATGACATCATGTGAATGCTCTGGAAAGACGTGTGCAGAGCCAGCCTCCAAGTCTCATCCTCTATTCCTGTGGGTTCCACTCCTGCATCCTGGCTGGCCCAGCAGTCACTTATACGACCTGTACTGTGTATCTTTTCTGTATTGGGTGTCAAAGATGCCCCACCTTACAAAAAAAAATTCCAGATGGGTCAGGCTTGGAAATAGCTCTTTCCTCCCCTGCCTGCTTCTGTCCCCACAAGTAATTGACAGGCAAGGGACATCAAGAGAATCTGGGTGACAATATAAGCAGTGCAAGGATCAGAAGAGGGCCCATGACAAAGGGCTGGAGCCCAAGGGAGGAGCAGTCCAGACTGTGCTGGTGTTTCTGATGTGAGCTTATGTCAGTTCCTCTCCTCCCCTCCCCTCCAGAGAGGACCAAACTGCTCCAAAGGAACAATGTTTGCTTTTGTAACTCATTCAGGTCTGCCTGCCGAGTTCCTCTGACAAGAAGAAAGCCCTCTCCTAAGAGCACAAGTGAAAACCAACTCAACTGAAAAGAGTTTATCCCTGGGGTAATGCAGATGACACAGCCTTGCCTGTTGAAGGTGAAGCCCAGTAGCACTTATTGAAGATCAGAGACTACACAGCTTCAGTATGGATTACTCTTCAACAGCAAGAAAAGAAACCCCTCACAACTGGACCAACAGGCAACAAAATGATAAAAAAAAAAAAATGAAATGGTCAAGGACTCCATTTTACTATTTGACTCCACCACCAACACTGTGGTAGAAACTGTTGAGAAAATATGTTTGTTGTGTGTACTGTCGAGTCTGAACCAATACATGGCTGAGTCTCCAGCAGAGGTTAAGAGGTACTTAATTGCTTCAGAGATTGCCCATCCTTCACCTACAAAACAGATACATTGCATTGGATAAATCTGCCTCTTTTAAGGTGTTAAATAGCAAGGATGACACATTAAAGACTAAGAGGAGCCTGGTCCAAGCCATGGTATTTCCAGTTGCTTTATATGCATGTGAAATGTGGACAATGCATAAGGGAGACTGAAGAACTGACACCTTGAATTATGGTATTGATTACACCACGGACTGCCAAAAGAACAAATATTATCTTGGAAGAAGAAGTGCAGCCAGTGTGCTACTTATGAGAACGGGGAGGTTTCCTCTCACATACTCCGAGCATGTTCTCAGGAAGGGTCAGTTCTTAGAAAGGAACTTCAGGCTTGGATATACTGGAGTCAGTGAGGAGGACCCTCAGTTGCACTGTGACTGCAACAACGGTCTTCTGCCCAGCAGAGATTTTGAGGATGGTACAGGATATGGGAAAGTTTTGATGTGTTGTAGAAAGTAATGCAATGAGTTGGGAGTTAACTTGGGGGCACCTAAAAAACCAAATCCCTGGGGGAGGTAAAGAAAAGGAATAACATATGTCCTTCCTTTATCTAATATGGAGTATAAGGAAGTGAGGCACATTAGCTGAGGAGCCATGAGCCCCGTGAGAGTGGAGCTCAGCAGTCTGACTTAAATGTGACTCTAGCACTGGATAAAGCCACTCCAAGAAAGAAAAGTCCAAGTTTAACTCTTCTGAGATCCCCTGCTTCCCTTTTACCACTTAAGAAATAAATCTGAGTTCTCTTTTCTACCCTACTTCCTTGTTAAAATAAAAAGCAACTTAAGTGCTCTTTTAACTCACCCTCTGGTGACAGAGGTTGGTTTTCAGAGTGACCTGCATTTTCACAGGTGCAGCCAGTCTCCTCTCCCTCCATGTGAAGAGCTACACCATTTACTGGCGTGTCTTGGCTAATCACCCTTTAAAGTGGTGAAAACGGACAGGCTTCTGTTGGCACTGGTGCTACTGCACAGAACAAAAGGTAGCAGCTCAAGAAGGATCCCGGTAACAGATCAGATTGCTAGGGAAACAGAGCAGTTATGTAACTGTGTTTACTCGGGCTCAGGTGGCTCCAAGAAGGCAGAGGCTGCCCCCTGACAAAGGGCAGTACCAGGAGGTGAGGAAGAGGCGGACTCACAGGGAGGGAGGTCCCTGTCCAAAGATAAGAGAGCCATGCCGAGGAGATAGCACTCTGGGATGAAAGGAATCTGTTCTCCTATTGACAAGAGCCAATGTTATCTAGGACAACCTTTCCTGTCCTCAGCCTCTCCCTACAAAGACGCCAGCAGCAGGCTAGGCCAGCAGTAAGTATATCTGAAGCTAGAAAGAGGAACTGAAAAATTAATTTTTTCAGTTGTTTTTGGCTGAATCTCTGGATCATGTTACATTCTTCCTTCCATGTCACAATTTTCAAAAAAAGCATTTTCCCTAAATATGGGCAAAGAGGAAGAATTAGCGAGGGTTCTTTATGTCTTTCCTATTTTGTGCTTTCACCAATCTCTCATCCTCTCTTCTATGAGGTCAGATGAACACCACGCAGCACAATGGAAAGATCTCATCACAGACCCTCCTTTGTCCAAGCAGACAGCCTAAGATTCTGGGAATGAGTTACCCCTGGTCCCAGGACAAAGCAGGTTCTGACCTGACAGAGAAGGTGATAAGCCCAACAAAATAGGGGCCTAAGGAGACAGAAGTCAAAGCAGCTTAGGGAAAAGGCTCAGGGGCTGCCCTCCCTCCTCCTGCAAAGCTGTTCACTGGACTCCCTGTTCCTCTAGTGATGAAACTGGTTACTAGTGCCCCACTCTTTGTAGATGTCCCTTTTTAACAAAAGAGGAAGCTGGGACCTTTGTCAGCTCAGCTGCAAGCTCTACGTTAAATATTTATCTTGGAGCCCAGGCCAGAGCCCTAGAAAATAAAGGAAGCTTGCTCGTGGGAAGAGAGGGTATGGCCAGGATTCCTGGAGTTGGAAGATCTTCAGCTTTACCATCTCAGGAGACCAAGGAGGAAAATGAAAGTGACGTGGTCCTTCCTACTAGTCCCAAGGACCCTGACAGGTGGGGAGAACTGGCAATGGGAAATGGCACATATGTTGTCCCCCGAGGGAGGGAAGAGGGTAGTACATAGTGGTGGTAACCCTCCAAGTTTTAGGAGAGGGAAATGCCATTTCTGCCTGCCTTCAAACTCTTTCTGGGAACCCCTGGACCTGCTGCCCAATAACTTACAGCCGCTAGCTGGGCCCCACACTATCCTGCTTTCCCATGGCGGCCCTACACACTGGAACAGCCAGCATGCCCCATATCTCTTAAGCTTCTCTTTAACCTACACCTCTTTTTTGAGTATTCTATTCATATCATTTCACACCAGTTGACCACAACCTCTTTAAAAGAGATTGCTCTTTTAAATTAAACTGAGGAAAGAACAAGCTAAAAGGTCATGGACAGCAAAGACTAAAAATTGTTCATTCACCCTTTTCCCTCCACTCCCCACTTTCGGGGAAGTCTGTGCCCCAGGGCACAAACCTCATACTGAGTGGGTATGAAACCAGTGTTTACACACTTTCAAAATGTTATAACTGTTTATTCTCAAAAAGGATCTTATGTTGGTCAAGTACTTCTAACTAGTTATTTTGAGGAACCAAGAACCAAGCTAAGAGCTGAAAGTACTCCAGAGTGCGTTTCCATGATCAGTAAGCATTCATTCATCTTCACGTTCTGTATCAGGCCCTGGGCTGCAGCGAGGGCTGGTGGTTGTTGTGTACCAGAGTCGCAACCCACTCATAGCTGGCCCTCCAGTGGGGTTTTCAGAGGCAGTAGAACTATTGACTTAGTAGATAAGGAGTTGCACTGTCAGTCCAAAAGTCCGCGGTTTGAATCCGCCAGCTGCTCCGTGGGAGAAAGATGGGAAATCTCGTTCTATGCTATTTACTGCTTTTGAAAACCTGCAGGAGGGTCAGCTGTGGGGTCGGTTCTGATTCTCTAGTCCATAACAACAACGAATCACACAGGAGGAGATTGCCCATCTTTCTCCCAAGGAGCAGCTGGTGGATACCAACCACCTGCCTTTGGGGTTCACAGTGCAACATCTCTTTACCACTAAGAGCTCCCTAAAAGTATTCCGGAGTCCGTTTCCAAGATCAGTGAAGACTAATCAAGCACCCTCACTTTCTACAATAGACCCTGTGCAGAGGCGAAGCGCTGGGGGGTGGGGGTGAGGAAAAGCCAGGAGAGGTCAGGGAGTCAGTGGGCGGGGCTCTCTGACAGGGGCCAGAGCAGCAGGAACAGCGGAAAAGCAGCAAGATCAAAATAAATCCAGGGTACGGGAACTCAGGACACACCAAGACCCTTCCAACCCCATCCCCTCCAGGGGGACCCACCCTCATCCTACTGCAGGAGCGTGGTGCCCCCAAGGGGCCGTTTGCGTAGGCCAATTTTGCAGATTCTGAGCAAGGGTCCCCGAGTTCGCCAGGGCACGCTGCACGCTTGGTGTGTAACTACACACACGCTACACACATTTACACACTCAAGTCTCTCACCCGAGGCCTTTACTTGCTGCGCTAAGCAGCTCTGGCGGGGAGGCCGGTCTACACGCTTATCTCGGTCGGGCCCGCCCCTCCAAGCCAGGGGCTCGGACTCCGTATCAGTCGCCAGCTCCGCCGGGGCCTTCGAGGCCCCGCCAGCCGCCCTCCCCTCGGCCGCGCCCTCCCCGCGAGCTGGAAGCGGCGCTGGAAAGTCTGAGCGGCGCGCGCCGGCTTCCCGCCCCCTGTCGGCCGCCAGCCTTGCCGTGGGGGGGTGGGGGGCCAGGCGGCTGGGAACCCGGCTTGGGCTCCCCGGGGGACTCCTCCCGACGCCGCCTCCCGGCAGCCCAGCCTCCTGGGCCCGGGGCCACCAGCGTCCCCACGGGCGCCATGCAGGCCACTCACACGCCCTCGGCGGACCGCCCCGCGCCCCCGCCCCCCCACCCCACCCCTCCGCAAACAGTCCCGATTGGAAACGCAAACTCAGCCGGCCGGCCGCGCTCCGCCACGGCGTTTGGCCTCCGCCGTCCTGTGCGCGCCCGCCCGCGTGCTCTCCGCTCGGCCTCACTCTTCCTCCCCGCGCGCGCAGCCCAGCGGAGCCTCGTCCTGACCCGGTCACGAGGGGGGAGAGGCCAAGCCGGACTTCCCCGGGGCTCCTCCCTCAGGGCCCCCGGCCGCGCCAGCCCGGAGCCGCGCAGAGATGCTCCCGCGCTCCCGTGCGCCAGAGGCCCCCGCCACCTGCTCGCCGCCCCAGGTAGGTGCCGCCGGGCGAGGGGCGGAGGCCGCTCGTGGGGAGGGATCTGGGGAGGCGGGGCCCCTCCCCCTGGGGGTCCTCAGAGTGGGGCGTCGCCGCCTCGGGAAAACTGAGATGGGAGAGAGCAGAAAAGTGCTTCCCTTTCTTCAATCCACAAAAAAGGATATTTGAACAGTCCACGCACACTTAGAACTGAACACCATTGGGGTAAATACGCAGTGCCAAGTCCAAAGTTAGAATAGTTATTAGGGATAGGAAAGAGTTTACTACTTCGTCTTCTCCAGCCCCTTAGAGCCGGCCTCCCGCCGGACCGAAGCCGGTGGACGAATTTTGGAAGGACCCTAGGAATTTCCTGGCATCCTCCGCAGGTCCAATTCCCCTGGTACCTCATCCTCCCTATGAAAAATTCTCCCTGATGTTTCCTGGCAGGGCTGCAAGGAGGAAAACTCAGATTACACTTCCCCACCCTTGTTTGTCCCCGGAAGTTGGGCCAGATAGAGTAGTGGGGGAAGAGGGGAGTACGTTGGGGTTCAGCAACCCTTAGAAACTCAGATACCCTCATCTACCACCCTATAGGAGGGCAGGTGTCATTGAGCAAAGAGGGGTGGGATGAGGAAGGCAAGCCCGGGTCAGCTGATGGGTCTAGGCTGCCATTGCTGACCAAGCATCTTCACCTCCAGCAGTCAGCTGGTTCTGTTTGAATCCAGCCTGTCAGCCTCCAGATCTCCCAGTGTCTCCCGCCTCAGTTTCCCTTCTGAGGAAGAGAGCATTGGAGCACTGTAGTGTGCCTGCATCTTTAGCTTTTGGTAGGAGCCTAATTGGATCCAGCTGGTGAGCTGCTGTTCCTCCAGCCTCATCCTTCTGCTCTCTGTAGTCAGTGGTGGGTACAGAAAAGCGAGGTCTCTACTGTAAAAAAAAAAAAAAAAAAAATCCAGCCCCCAAATTCAGACAAGAAAAAGGGAGCCCTGTGCCCAACCTTGTCTGTGTCCTTGCCCACCCATCAGGACAGATGGTCACAGCCCCTATGCACCCTCATCTCCTCCAGTCCCCATAATTCACGTGCTGCTCATATGACCCACCTACTGCACGCAGCCTCGCTCATTCTCTCCCCCACATCTGACTCAGCTGATTGCCCCTCTGTGCCCTCAACCCACACAGCTCACATGACCCTCACTGGAGGCATCCCCAGAAGTGATAGTCATTAAGCGCTGCCTCCACCCAGCCCACTGGCCACCCTCCCTTGGTCTCCACCAACACCATAGACATACACAGCATGAGCTGAGCAAACAGCCCACAACTAGTCCAGTCCCAAAAGGAAGCTGAGTTTGGCTCAGCGTCTAGCTTAACCGGGCCCCAAGGGTGAAGTGAGGCAGGCTTCATGCCAGAGTTTCTGGGTAGAAAAGTCTCATAGGACCCCATGACAAGGGAACCCACTGTCCCTTCCACCCACCCTTGCACCCCCTTCCTCTACCTCCATCTCCAGGGTGCCCCTGTCCCCTGCCCTGACCTCTGCAAGGGGCATTACCAGTGAGAGGGCCAGGGGAGAGCCTCCATCCTACAGTCACAGAGAAGACATGGAAGGAAATGTGTGGGGACCATGTGCCCATCGGTGAGAGCACCCAGGAATACCCTCTATGAATATAGGTCCACTCTCACACCCTGCTTCTCTCCACCCTGCCCTCACTGTGCTCAGAACCCATGAGCCTCAGTCTAGGCAAGGAAGCTAGAGAAGGGAGTTGATACTCCCTTTGAGCTCAAGAGTGGTTCCAGATGCCTGGAAATGCCCCCTAGTCTCCCCCTCCCTGGAATCTTGGCCTTGTTTGGGTCTAGCGCACCAGTGCTGCTTTCCAGTGGGCAGTGGAGGGCGGCCTTGCTGCTGGCCAGGGCCTCTGCCTGGACCTGAGCTGCTCCTAGTGCCTGCTGGCAAGTGGATGCTCACCCGGGACTTGGAGAGGCAGCAGGAACTGAGACAGCGTTATATGTGCCCTAGACCTCCGCTGCCAACTGCCCCAGTTCCCCTCTGCCTTCCTCTGGGGGAGCAGGCCGTGTTGTACAGAGAAAGCCCCAGAGGGGCTGTCCAGTGGGGCTGAGGCCAGAGCTTTCCTGCAGGCCTGCGGGCCCAAGGCTTTGTCCAGAAGCCTGCTCTGGCCAGCAGCCCCTCCTCCTCGCCTGGCCTCCCCCTCCCCCTCTCCCACCCAGAGCTCCTGCCCAGGGCCTAACAAACAGTCCATTGTGCCTATGGAGCCGCACTGGCAGCCTGCAAACGGGTGCCCACAGTGGCCTGTTTCTTGGGTCTTGTCAGCTCCCACCCAGCTGGTCCCAGCCCCCTCCCACAGTCATCTTCTCTCAGCCCCATCCCTAGGTCCAGCCAAGAAAAACCCACCCTTCTTCCCTCTCTGCAGAGGACACGCTGAGCAGCTGGCACACTCAGAGTCCTCTGACCTTGACCTGAACATGCAGTCACCACCCCGAAGCCTCCCTGCTGGGCTCAGCCTGGATGACTTCATCCCTGGCCACCTCCGGGCATACACGGGGTCATCTTCCCATGGGTCCCGGGTGAGTAAGACCACAGAGGGAGAGGGGAGCCCTGGGACAGAAGGATTGAAAGACTGGGGAGTCAGAAGTGAGCTCTAGAGAGCCTCAGAGGTTTCCCACTCTTGAAGGTCAAGCTGGGCCCTGGCCACTGATCTGTACCCTCAGCCCTCCCCTTGCCCGCCCCCGCCACGGGACTTCTGGGCCTGAGCAGCTGCTCTGGCCCCTCCCCACAGGTGCCTGTGATCAGGAATGGTGGCTCCAACACCCTTAATTTCCAGTTCCATGATCCTGCACCCCGGACCGTGTGCAACGGGTGCTTCCCACAGAGGAGTGATGCTTCCCAACACCCAGGTGGGTCAGGCGGGGAACCTGCTCCAGAAGCCCTGTGGGGGGTGGGAGGGCAGGGCTGCCTGCTGTCAGGCACCATCCTAGTCACCAACTTGCTGAGCAGAGGGGCAGCAGAGGTCTGCATGGGGAGCAAAAGGCGATACCTCAGAACCTCAAGGAAGTGCCATGCCCAGCTCCCCCCCCAAAGGCTCTGACCTCAGCTGTCCCCTCCCTGTGTCCCCTGCTGTGAGATTGAAATCAGCTGTGGGAGAGAGTGGCTGACACATCCTTCCCTTCCCTCTGGCTCCTCCCTGCCCCCCAGTACCAAGGGAGGGAAGTGTACAGGGGTCAGAGTCATGGGGCCTGGGCTTCCAGGAGGTGTGGGGATGGATGAGTGGGTGAACTTGAGCACACACTGGTTCTAAAAGGGGAGGAAGACTGACCCCCACTGCAGTCAGGCCCCTCACTTGCTCTCTGTTCTGTTCAGAAGCCCAGAGCTCCACATGCCAGCCAGAGGCTAAGAGCCTGTCCCATCACCAGGCTCTTCAGAGGCCCCCCTGGGGCCTCCTCAGGGCACCTATGGGCGTCTTAAGAGGTTGGCAGTCTCTACTGAGCTTTCCTTAGAGGCAGGCCTTGAGTGACAGTTTTTTTTCATTTATCCAGATAATTCCCAAACACAGTGCAGTAAACACTGTTAAGATACTTCAGAGGCCTTAACTTACAGCTTCCCAGTGAGGAAGCTGTCTCAGAGAGTAGGAGCAGCTGACCTGCGACTCAAACCCTTGTCCATGTGACTCCAAGGCTCTTACACTGTTACACTGGCTTCTTGGAGGCAGAGGCTCTGGGGAAGTTGAGGACACAGCCATCTGTGGTGACTGAGTCTCTGTCCTTTATAGAGAGCCTCCTGACTTCATCAGGCACAGTAACACACCAAGATCTTACTGAATCTTTGTAACAGTTACCCTCATTTCCCAGAAGTGGACACTGAGGCACTGAAGGGTGGAGTGATGTGCCTAGAGTCACACAGCCAGTAAGTGGCAGAGCCCAGGTCCGAAGGCAGCGCTGCCCCTCTGGGGTCTATGCCATTTCTGCCTCTGCTGGGAAGTCCACAGTGTTCTCTCACAGTAAGATCTCCCAGCTGAACACTCTGAGCTCCAGGACTGTGGGGTGGAGGCAGGCACAAATTTCTCAAAACAAAATCCATTTTACTCCCTTTAACTAAAAAGCCAACAAACAGAGGGCTGTGGCACTTCTGGGATAGGGAAGTCTGCAGAGTCTGCATTGTAAACTCAAGGAGATGCTGAAACCATGGCATCCACAGGGATGCTCTGAGAAGCCAGAGGATGCACAAGTTGGGGTGAGGACTCTGCGCTTTGCTAATGCTCTCTTGCTTTCACCCACAGACACAGCGTGGTATCAGACCTGGCCGGGCCCTGGGACCCGGCCCTCGGGGAGCTCAAAGGCCCCTGCCCCTCAGCGTACCCAGAACTGGTCAGCCACATGGACCAAGGACAGCAAGCGTCGGGACAAGCGCTGGGTCAAGTACGAGGGAATCGGACCCGTGGATGAGAGCGGCATGCCCATTGCCCCACGATCTGTGAGTCCAGGGCTGGGGAACATGAACAGACGGGTCTGGGGCTCGCAGAGATCATGTCTGTGGGTGCGTTATAAATTCCATTGCAGACCGAAGCAGGGGTTGGAGTGTGGATGGTTTCAGGTGGTCACAGACTCCACCCCGGTGTGTGTGATGGTGCAGGAGGTTTATGAGGTGAGGTCTCTGCCCCATGACCCCACGTGCTCACAGGAGGAGAACCTCTGTTTGCTTTTTAGTCAAAGGGAATAACATAGATTCTGTTTTGAGAAACAAAACCCTGGCAGGGCCCCCCTCTTGAATCTTGGGTCCTGAGATCCTGGACTGTGCTCATGAACTGGGTGCTGGTGAATGAAGGAGGGCATCCTGAGGGAGCAGGGCTGCTGAGGTCCAGGCGTGGTAGCCCTGCCCTCCTCCCTCACCTGCTATGTGTCTCTGCCTCCTTTTCCTCATCTGAAAGACAGAGCTGGCAGTGTGCCCCGCCTGCCATCCAGGCAGTGCTCCAAGAGTGTGGAGCACTCTTTCACTTGTATTGATTGCACAGAAATATATGTTTTTTTGTAGAAATGTTGTTAACTACCATTCAGCGGCCCTCAGCTTTTGGGGACCTTGTGAGCAACGGCATCAGAGCATTGTGATCTAGAGGGCTAGAAGGAGATTTTGGGCCTTTCCTCCTAGACTATGTTCTCCTGGAAAATCTGCTAAAAACTGTTGGGCAACTGTTTGTGGTAAGGAATTGCCCTGCCAACACAAAAGTATGCGGTTCAAATCCACCAGCTGCTCTGTGTGAGAAAGATGGGCAGTCTCCTCCTGTGCAATTTACTGCCTCTGAAAACCTGTTCTGAGTCATTCTAACTCAACAGCGCACAACCACCACCACTGACAGGCGTGCCGTGGCTGCACACAAGGTGTACTGCTGGGGATCAAACCTGGGTCTCCCGCATGAAAGGCGAAAACTCTACCGCTGAACCACCTGTAGAGACGTTAACACTCAAACTCATCGCAGTCAACTAGGTTCCAATTCATAATGACCCTCCATTGGATTTCTGGGGTTGTAAATTAAAATAATGTCCTTCTCCAAGAACTGGACCCTCCTGGCCATGTGCCCAAAGTATGTGAGATGAAGCTTCAAAATCCTAGCCTCCGAGGAGAAACTTGGTTTCATGCTCTCCAAGACAGACCTATTTGTTCTCTTGGCAGTCCATGGTATGTTCAAGACTCTTCTCCAGCACCGCAACTCAAAGGCATCGACATCATATTCAGAAGGGTGCTGGGACAGCCCAGGAGAGGAAGACCCCAAAGGAGATGGATTGATACAGTAACTGGGGCAATGGGGGTAGGTGTGGGAGTCAATGAGACTGGCTCAGGACAGGGCAGGATACAGAGCTGTTATACACTGGGTCACTATGAGTCCCAGGTGATTTGAAGGCACATAACAACAACGAGTTAAAATAGGAGGAGACACCTACCTGTCTTTATTCTGTAAAGCAGCCGTGGATTCAGACTGCTGGAGCATTTGGTTAGGAGTGCAACACTTTCTGGATGAGGCCATCAGAGCTCCCTTTAGAAACATCACAAATACAAAAGAAGCAAAGAGATTGCAGTAGTTGCGTCTATGATACAACTCTTGGCCTCTACTCATAGGCCAATAAAGGAGACTGATGGGAAATCGAAGGATGAACAAAGAAGCCAATCTGCAGGACTATAGTCCACACAAACTACAACCTCTTTAAAACTGAGATCAGAAAAACAAGATGGAGCCCAGGCTACCAATACTATTTGTGAGGGATACGATAGAACGTCCAGACAGAACAGAAGAAAGATGTAGAACAAAACTAAACTTAAAAAAACCAAACTAAACAGACCACTGGACCTAGAGGAACTGAGACAGCCCAGCTAAGACTGTCTTTGGAACTGAAGCTCTCACTCCTCTCTGGGCCGCCCTTCAGCCAAACAATAGATTGGTTTACAAAATAAACAGTTTTCCCATGAGTAATGTGCCCTGGTACACAAAGAACTATATGACACATGTCCCCAAAACACAGATGAGAAAGCAAGCAGGGGAAGGGCAGCCATATCAATGGAAACAGAACAAACAGAGTGGAAATAATGACAGTGCTGACACATTGTTAAAACCGTAACCAACGACAGGGAACAGTGTGTATAAAAATTGTTCCAGCCCACTGCTGGTGAGTCTCTTCTGCCTCGTGACAGTGCTGTAGAGGCTGTGATGATTTTATGGGAGGAGATTGTCTTATTTTTCTCCCAAGGAGCAGCTGGTGGATTCAGACCACTGACCTTTTGATTAGCATCCTAATGTGTTATTCACTCTTGTTGTTGTGTACTGTCACCCTTAGCTGACCCGCTGGTGGGTTTTCAGAGGCAGTAAATTACACAGGCAGAGACTGCCCATCCTTCTTCTGCAGAGCAGCTGGTGGCCTCAAATCCAGTGCCTTTAGGATCGCAGCTCAGTTTCTTGCCACTAGGCCACCAGAGCTCACTTGTAATCCATTACACTGTAAGGTGGTTCTCTAACCACAAAAATTGTTAAAAGGAGACTTAATTTGTGATGTAAACTTTTACCTAAAAAAAGTAAACTATTTTAAAAAATAGTAAAAATACATGAGATGTTGAGTTTATATTATTTCCTTTTTCAAATAATATAAATTCAACATCTCATACTTGAACAGTCACTGTTATATGCACTTCGATGGAGAGCCTTCTGTGTGTCTTACCCAGATACAGCATGACTCACAGAGTCATTGTTACTAAGGATATTACCACAGAGAAGTTCTCCAACCCTCCCACTGCGGCTTCCAGGGTGGCCAGAGAAAGGGCTCGTATGGAAAAACTTTTGTGGCTTATTATTGGAAGGACGGGTGACAGCAAAGCCTGACTTTGCCTTTTCTCATCCCAGAGTGTGGACAGCCCCAGGGACTGGTACCGGAGAATGTTCCAGCAGATTCACCGGAAAATCCCAGGTGGGACACCCTCCAAGGGTCCTGTCCTGGCCAGACTGTGGATGGGGGTGGGGAGGGCAGAAAGGCGAGGTCACCTGCTCAGGGAGCCCCTCCCCACCTACTCTGCGCTGCATGTCCGTAACACTGGGCAGAGGAAGGAGTCTCTCGCACACAGCGCCCAGCAGTGGCCTCCAGAGCGTTCTCCAGGACAGTGACCAGACGCTGTCCCTCAGTACTAGGAAGACAGTCTTTTCTTGAGATTTCTGGTTTTTCTGCCAGGCTCAGATTCCACACTAGAGGGTCATTCTTCTTTATAAATTTGTACTTTCTCCTGTGACTGCAGCCAGCCCTAGGAGCTGCCTTTGATCTTCACACATCATGCAGTCCATCCCCTGGGTGTTTATGGAGACTTTGACTGCACCAGCCCCAGTGTCAGGTGACACAGTGTTTGTCAGCTGCTTTCCAGGTGGCCCTGTGTGTCAGACAGCCCTGCCTCCGTCCGTCCCACCCTGGACGTCTGAGCAGACGGTTGTCATCCACTGGGTTTCACAGGCTGGTTTTCAGATCGCCGCTCTTTCTTTCTGGTCATTCCTAGCAGGGCAACTTCACAGAAGCCCATCGAGCATCATCACTCACACGACTCTGTTAACAACAGGCTGCATGCCACGTGCAGCGACTGGGAATCAGATGCAGGACTTTCGCAAAGAAGGTTGAAAATGTGGCAAAAAAAGAACACCTCTGCCCTAGTAAATCTCACATTCTGGATAGAGGGGGACACTAAGCAGATACATATTCACTGGGGCCGATGGTAAGGGGTCAGTGGAAAGCCCAGAGTAGCCAGGTTGCCATATAACACAGGTGTCTCTGACCACAGCCTGTAGTGAGTGAAGGAATTACCCTGGCAGAAACTACAGAAGAGCCAAGCACATAACCTTTGCAGCAGTTGTTGTGTACTGACCCATAGCTGACCCTCCACTGGGTTTTCAAGGGCAGTAGATCGTATGGGAGGAGATTGCCCGTCTTTCTCCTGTGGAGGAGCTGGTGGATTTGAACCTTGTGACTTAGGGTTAGCAGCACAAATCCTCACCAGTGAACCACCAGAGCTTCCTCCCCCCCCCCTTGTTACTGTCTAATCGAATCTGATTGGCACAGGAGGAAATTGCCCCTCCTCCAGCGGGGCATCTGATGGATTCGAACCGCCTGCCTTTGAGATTGAAGCACAGCTTCTTGCCACTAGGCCAGAGCTCCCTTTTTCAACAGTTGTTGTGTACCGACCCATAGCTGACCCTCGAACGGGTGTTCAGAGGCAATTAATCATCAGGAGACAATTGCCCATCCTTCTCCCGTGGAGCAGCTGGTGAATTTGAACCACATGCCTTCAGGACTGCAACGCAGTCTTACCAGTAAGCCTCCAGAGCTCCTTTTTTTTTTTTTGCAGCAGTAGGGCTCTTTATTTTTAAGGGGGCTGGGGGCAAAAAACCCACAACAAAACCCAAGACCCTTATACGCATTGCCGTCAGTCAAGTGGGTTCCAACCCAACTGACCCTCCAGTGTGTTTCCAAGTCTTAACGGGAGGAGGTTGCCCTTGCTTCTCCTGCAGAGCTGCTGGTGGAGCTACAGACCACACTGCCCTAGGTGCCCTGGGCCGCCATGGGAATTGCTGATGAATGGGGTATGGCATGAAAGAAAGCTCCTTGCCTTAGTATCAGAACTGACTCATAGCTGACTCTCTAGCTGCTTTCCAAGACTGTAAATCACATGAGGAGCCGCTGATGGGTTTGAACCACACCTTTTGGGATTAGCAGTGCAACATCGTCAAGAGAAAGAAATCAGAATGGTTTTAAACATGGACAAGCAGAATGATGGAGCAGACAGTAGTAGAGATAGAGAAGCCTACGGGAAGAATGGGCTTGAGAGGACTCTCGTGTCGAGATGCATGTTGAAGTGGAGATGTGGAGCAGGCCATTGAGTATTCAGGTCCTTGGCGTGCACATATGGTTTGTTGTTCTCTACTATCCAGAGAACCGTACTGGAGGAGAAAGTCCTTCTTTCTCCTGAGGAGCTATTGGTAGTGTCTCAGCACCTGCCCTTGTGGTTGACTAGCAGGAGCTAAAGCAGATATAAATACTGGGGACACATACTCCCCAAGTAATACTAATGTACAGTCAGGGTTGTGGATTAGCCCTAAGAGTTGGCGCTCCTGTCCCGAAGGCAGGCGTTTGAGTCCACCAGCCGCTCCTTGGGAGAAAGGTGGGAAGTTTCCTCCTGTGCATTTTACAGCCTCTGAAAACCCTCTGGGTGTTTCAGTTCAGTTCTGACTCATTGGCAACGAATTTGAGTTTTTTGAGACTACACACTCCATCAGGGAGCTCATGTGGCCTCTGCCAGCCCAAAGGTAAGTGTTTAGAATCCACAGATTCTGTTCCTTGAGGAAAAGATGGAGTTTCTCCTCCTGTGTAATTTATGGCCTCTGAAAACCCACTGGAGGGTCAGCTATGAATTGGTTCCGACCATCCACAAAGGGAATGCAGATGCAGAGAAAATGAGATCAAAGACATTGGCTCAAGGCCTTTTTATGTTCAGAGGTCAGAGACGAGGACAGTAAAGCTCATGGAAGGAGACTGCCCATCCTTCTGTCGCAGAGCAGCTGGTGGATTTGAACCACCTGCCTTTGGGTTGGCAGCGAGCAGGAACCAGTAAAGCTGCCTGAGAAGGTGCAGCCTGGGAAGAAGGAGGAAGACAAAGGCAGTGTGGTCTCTGTAAAGGCAGGTCATAGATCCACTGTGACAAATGTTGCTCATCAGGTAAGAGGAAGACTGAGCTTGAACCATTAGATTAATAATACAGAGGTCAGTGGGGTTGGTGGATTCGAACTGCCACCCTTTAGGTTGGCAGTGTAACTCCCTACCCACTAGGCCACCAGAGCTCCCTGGAGTTTTTGTTTTGGGGATGTTTTTGTTTTGTAAAAGCTGCTGGGGACGGGAGTGGTGGGGCTGCATGCCTCATTAGAAAGAATGGGCATAGGAAATTGGAGCCTTTGAGTAAGACAGATGAGCTGGAGGAAGATGTGGGATAAGTGTTCTGATTTGTATTTAAAGTAGGAGCTGTTGCAACTCGTTGGCATAAAAGGGATCAAATTGATTGTCTGGTCAGTAGATTTTGCTGGAAGATCCCGGAAATTCATGAGCGCCTTAAGGAGTGTGTCTGGGCAAAGAGGGAAGGATAAGCATTGAGGAAAGGGTTCAGGAAGGGAAGGAGGGAGAAGAGGAAGTGGCTGGTTTCCCCCACCTGACCTGGCGGAATGCTGGCTAAGGTCAGGAAGAGGCTGGGTGTGGGAATGCAGGGAGGGAGGAGCCAAGGGGCTGGGGCAAGGCTTTGGCAGACTGGGGTTGGCTCGCTCAGGCCCTCAAGTCTGCCAGAGGCATTTCAGGCCCTCCAGAGAGCTGCCCTCCTAATTCCTTCCCTCCTTCTCCCTCCCTCGGGACATTCTTCAAGCCCTGACTCAGCCCCTCCGCCCTCAGCTTTAGGGGAGAGGCTGGAAGCAGCTGAGGCTGAGGCAGCCTGGCCAGGCTCTCCTCGCCCTTTCTGCCCACCCCTGATCTGCCTTCTTCCTGCTTTCACAGACCTGCAGCCGGACTGGACCTTTGAGGAACCACCCAAAGGTGAGGGAGTGCCTGTTGCCCCAGCTCAGGAATACATCCCAGGCGCCCAACTACCTGATGCTGGCATGTGCAGTGGCCTAGCTGCCCCGATGGTGGGGTTTAACGAGGAAATGTCTATGGCTCATTTCTCCTGAGCGTCAAGTTCCCTTTCTCATCCCAGCTGGTCGTGTGGTAATTAAAGTCATCTTCTGCAGCCCAGTGAATTCTCGCTGAGCCACTTCCTGGTGGCAGTTTCCTTTCTCTGGGCTTCTCTTTTCTTCACCTGTAAATGGAGATACCAGCCTATCCTACAGAGTTGTTTTGGAGATTTAGTAAAGAATGTGAACCCTTGATAGTTCAGGGATACTACTTCCCAGGAGCAAGGTGGGTAGAGGAGGGGACCCTGCACCATGCCTGTCCTCACACTTTCAGTGGTTTCCTCGTGTGTCCCCTTCAGATTCGATTCATCCTGGGTTCCAGAGAAGACCTGCTTGCAGGCCAGGCCCAGCGGGGACGCTGAGCGGGTGAGTGAAAGCTCTGGGGAAGGGGCTGCAGGCCTTGGGAGTGCGGTGGGTGGTCAAGTGTCTCTGTGGGGCCAGCGCCCCCTGGTGGCCACCGCTGGCACGGCCTCAGTAGAGGCACGCTGGGGTCCTGGGTGGCTGGAGGGCAAGAGGAAAGGCGAGTAGGAAGCTGAGCTGCACCCATTCCTGGTCAGAACGCCCGTGGCACGCGTGTGGCTCGTAGCAGGAACCCATCACAGGTCGTCTGGGGTGGGGGAGCAAAGCAATCCAGAGTCCCTGGCAGAACCTTGAGGCTGGTATGGCGGAGCACACGTTTCCTCCCAGACATCTGACACAGAGAGGAGCCACAGCCGGGAGGTTAAGGATGAAATTCCTTTCCTCTGTGCAACCCACACAAGCCCAGTGGGGCTGCCAGACTCCGGAGGAGCTCGGCCCAACCCTGGAAATCAGGAGTTTTGATCTTAAAGTTAACTCACGAGCTTCTTACTCCTTTATAGGGAGGAATTAGCGTCTGGCCCTGGCCCTTAGCCTCACCAGCAAGGTAGAGGTTTAGGGTTTTAAACTTTGGAATCAGAGTTCTGGGTTCTAGCTGGTGTGCTTCCACTAGTCATGTGACCTCGGGCCACTTACTTAACCAGTTCCAGCCTCAGTGTTGGTCTGTTAAATGGGGGAAGGGTGTGTCACTGGATTGTTGTGAAGATTCAATTAGATAATGTGTCATTCCTGGCACTTCATAAGCCTCCACAAATACCATTATTGTACAAGCCTAATTATGACTTGATCTTTCCAAAGATAGGAAATGACAGATCATGCTCATTTTCACTTTTATTCTTGCTGAAATCAGAAGAGAACTACAGTCATCAGATCCTGACCCCTGGCTCTGGCATTCCATTCATAACAGTGTTTCTGTGTGGTGGAAACAGTAAAACAATGGCTGGAACACCTCAGCTAGCCAAGGAGAGGAACTAAAGCCTTGTGCAGAGTGAGGGTCCCCCACCCCCTCGCAGGAGAGTGCAGTACCTGGGGTGGCTTCACAGATGAGGTCACTGGATCTAGCCCTTCCTGAAATGGAGGCCTGGAATGAAGATAGAATTTGCCCAGGGACCATAGCTGGTCTAACCCCTGGGACTTTCTCCCATTTCTCAGGGTTTTGGTGACGATATAAAACCACTCATCCACAGCAATTAGAAAAGTCCTGGGCATGCAGATCAGAACAACTATGAGATATCACCTCACCCCAGTAAGAATTGCAAAATTTAACAGAGCAGCCAACAACAAATGCTGGCGAGATGTGGAGAAATTGGAACCCTTATTCACTGTTGGTGAGAGTGTAAAATGGTGCAACCACTATGGAAGGCTGTATGGTACTTTCTCAAAGAGGTGGAAATAGAGATACCATTTGACCCAGCAATTCCACTACTGGGAATATACCCCAAAGAAACCATAACTGCCACCCAAGCAGATATATGCACACCCATGTTTATTGAGGCTTTGTTCACAATAGCAAAAAAGTTGGAAACAACCAAAGTGCCCATCAACAAACGAATGGATTGCGAAGCTGTGGTATCTTCACACAATGGAATACTATCCTGCTTTGATAAACAAGGAACTCATGAAATATTATACAAAATGGGTGACCCAGGAGGACATTATGCTGAGTGAAAAATCTCAGTCACAAAAGGACAAATATTGGATAGGGCCACTGTTGTAAAATGGACTGACACTGAGAAAGATGGGATAAATTATGTGTACTGCATTGAAACAGATGAGGGAGAGAACAGTTTAAAAGGGATATGTGATTAGATATTATTGTCATGACAGGAGTCCAGAACGAAGGCTGCATAGTGGAGTGGACTTTGGGGGAGGGATTGTATAACAATGAAAGAATTTTTCCTTTCCAAAGAGAAGAACAAATTGGGGGCGGGGAGGTTGGGCAGGGAGAAAAGTGCAATAATGAATGAATGAAAATCCAAAGTTTCTGTAAACTTTTATTAAAATTAATAATAATTAAAAAAGGGAAAAAAGAATCCCTGAAGATGCACTGAGGAAAAAAGAAGAAAGGCCCTCTGCATCAGAACTACACACATAAGCAGAGCTGGACCACAACATCAGATAACACAACTGTACTTCCTAAGATGCTTTACTAGAAACCACTGTAGAGTATATGCCAGGGCCTCTCCTGGGTACCGCACTCATGTTTCCTAAGCTTCACTGTGCCCTTACAAAAAGGGAATGAGTCCCATTTTACAGCCTCTGAACGTGAGGTGAGATGAGCTCAGTAACTTGGCCAGAGGTCACATAACTACTAAGTGGCAGAGCTGAGACTGGAGCACTTTGCACTGCTTACCACTGCTTCTACCTCTAAGGGGTGGAGCAGCCAGGAATAGAGATGGCCCCTTAACTCAGAGCAGGTGCTGGAGGGGGGTGTGTGTGTTGGCGTGTGCACGTGCGCATACCACCCTCTACCAAGGCTGTGTTCTCACATATGCCTCAGTTTCCCTAAAAGGAAACTGAGAAGCTGTCCTTGCCATTCTCTTCAGAAGCAGCTGGGGCCTCTCACAAGAGTTTCCTGGCCACACTTTCAACTATAATCCTCTGCTGCAGACCCAGAATCAGGTACCGCCCTCCCCCCTCCCCATATTATTCTTCCGCTTCACATCTTTTGGCTTAAACCCTAGTTAAGTGCAGATAATGCCCTTTGATCTCAGGGCCTGTCCTGTGACGTTCCAGATCCCCTGGAGAGCACCAGTGGGCATAGGGATGGGTCTGGTACCTGGCCAGTGTCCAGCTGTTCTTACCCTGAACTGATGCCCACCTGCCTCCATGCAGGTGCCCAGGCGCCGAGACAGGGTAGACAATGTCTGGAAAGAAGACTCCTGGAACCAATTTCTGCAAGAACTAGAGACTGGGCAAAGGGTAAGTGCCAACCTGGTCCTCGGGAAGTGTACATGGAAAGCACCCCCTCTGACAGATCATTCTTTACCTTTCAGCCAAAGAAATCCTTGGTGGATGAGCCTGTTGATAAGCCCTCTCAACCCATTGAGGTGAATGTTGGCAGGGTGGGTGGGTCGGGAGATGTATGAGGGAGTTTCTGGGTGGGGGACATTAGTGTCCATGGGCAAAGACCATAGAGAGCAAAAGATGACCCTTTATGTCCCAGCAGGCTACCTGGGTTGAGCACTTCTCAGCTCCATGTCACCCAAAGCAGCGCTATTCTGTAAGCCCTATCTCACACTGACCCCATGCACCACGGAGATAAAACACATTGGAATGAAATACTGCCTGTTCCTGTGCCATCCCCAGGTCTGATGGCAGACAGCTGCTGTGAGCCATACAGTTTTTTGGGGGTTTTAAATGTTTTTATTTTTTTTCTGTGTGTGTGTGTGTGTGTGTGTGTGTGTGTGGGCGCGCGCTCATACCATCAAATCGGATCTGACTGGTACAGAAGGAAAATGTCCCTCCTTACCTGGCAGAGCATCTGGTGGATTTGAATCTTTTGCCTCTGGGCTTGCAGTGCAGCTTCTTTCCATTAGGCTACCAGAGCGCCCCTGAACCATACGGTTTTCATTGGCTGATGGCAGACGGTTGCTGTGAGCTATATGGTTTTCATTGGCTGATGATGGAAGGCTGCTGTGAGCCATAAGGTTTTCATTGGCTGATGATGGAAGGCTGCTGTGAGCCATGAGGTTTGCATTGGCTGATGATGGAAGGCTGCTGTGAGCCATGAGGTTTTCACTGGCTGATCTGCAGAAGCAGATTGGCAGGTCTTTCTTCCTTGTCTAGAAGCACCACCAAAATTTGTTCCGCTTCCCCGTGTTAATGTTCAGTAAACATGCGTTGAGTCTGAAGCAGAAGCAGAGAATGGCATGGCCAGTGTGGACTAAAATTGTCAGGACGTATTCTTGCCAAGAAATTTGGAAGCCAGCTACCTGGCCAGCCAGCTAGAAAAGATCTGTACTTTTGCCCTTTCCAAAGAGAGGTGAGCCAGCAGAATGTGGAAATTATAGATCAGCATTAGTATCACATGCAAAAAATATCTTGCTGAAGATAATTCAAAACTATGTGTAGTAGCACATTGACAGGGAACTGCGACAAATTCAAGCTGGATTTCAGAAGAGGATGTGGGAGAGAAAGAGAGATATTATTGCTGATGAGAGATACATTTAGCCTGAAAGCACAGAATACCAGAAAGATGTTTACCTGTGATTGACGATGAATAGATATTTGACTCTGTGAATCATAAAAAATAATGGATACATTTCAAGGCTAGAAATTCTAAAACATTTAATTGTGTTCATGTACAACCTGTCATTCAGATTGTGATAGGTAGTGCTAGGATGCAAAAGAAAAATGCCCCATGCTTTCTGTCTTTGTGATAGACTGATGGAATGAGGGAGTGCATCTGAAAAAAAACCAAAATAACAGGTATGTGTTACGGTGGTATCCTTTCGTGATACTTACTCACTATGGATACTGAGCAAAGATATGAGAAGCTGGACTGTATAAGGAAGAATGCAGCACGGAGACTGGGGAATCATTAACGACCTGGACGATGCTGATGATAGAACCTTGATTGCCAAATGTGAAGAGGACCTGAAAAACTGATGAAGATCAAATACAGCCTTCAGTGTGGACTAAACCACAACATCAAGAAAGCAAGAATTCTCACAGCCAGACTAGTAAGCAACCTCGAGATGGACACAGAAACTTATGAAATTGTCCAAGTTTTCATTTTATTTGGGTCTATAATCAACAGCCATGCAAGCAGCAATCAAGACATCAATGTGTTGGGCAAATCTGCTACAAAGGACCTCTTAAATATTTTTTAAAAAGTGTATATTGGTACTGACACGGTGACGGCAGCAGCAGGCTCTAGTGTGTCAGGAAGTGGGAAGATGGCACAGCATAGGACGGGGTTCAGATCCGCTGTTCTATAGGGTCGCTAGAACTTGTACTAGACTCAACAGCGCCTAACAACATATTGGTTCATATACAGAATTCCTCTACATGGTGGTTCATTCTATAGGACATCTTTAAAATGTAAAGAACAAGCGTCCCACTCTGGGAACTAAAGTATACCAGACCCAATCCATGATATTCCACTCACATGTGTGTGAAAGAGGGACAGTGACTAAGTCACAGCAAAAAACTGGTGCCTTTGAACTGTAGTGTTGATGAAGAATACTGAGTATACTGTGGACTGCCAGAACCAATAAATCTGTCTCAGAAGCAGCAAAGCTCCTTGGAAGATAGTGAGGTTTTGTGTCACATGCTTTGGACATGCCATCAGGAAGCGCCAGTCCCTGGAAAAGACATCATGCTTGGTAAAGGCTCAGCACAAGAGAGGAAGACCTTTGCTGGGATGGGTAGACATAGTGGCTGCCACAACAGGCAGCATGGGAACCGTGGTGGGGACGGCACAGGACAGAGCTCTGTCTCCTGTTGTGCATGAGGGTCACCATGTGAGGGGCGGGCTCAAGGGCACCTAAAAACAACATTCCTGGAGGTGGGGCTGGGCTCTGAGAAATGATGTGTAGCCTGGCAGGGAGAGGGCCACTGGGGATGAGAGGATAAGCAGAGGCCAGTGCAGGGCAGTGGGAGGAGGAATGGCTGGGTGGAAAGCCAGGCTTTGTTGTTGCGTGCCATCTAGTCAGAAGCCATGCATAGCTGAGCCCCCAGCAGGTTTTCAGAGGTAGTAAACTGCACAAGAGGAGACCAGTGGCTAGTGGATTTGAATTTCCCTGCCTTTGGTATGGCAGTGCTGCTTCTTAACCACTAGGCCACCAGATCCCCCAGAAGCTAGGCTTTAGAACACTTTAAAAGACCTGATGGGTAAGGAGAGTAGGAGCTACTATAACAAAGCAAGTACTAAGGGCTGTTAGAAGCTCTCCTGGCGATGTGGTTAAAGATTGACAGCCTTGGAAGCCCTGTGGGCTGTACTGCTCTCTGTAGGGGGTGTCTGACACAGAATGGAGTGGAGAGCCTCTGTAAGGGTGCCGGCGGGGTAGAGGAGAAGGGCTAGCTGAGAGGCGGCTGGAAGGAGGAAACACATCTCACACTGGAGGGCCTGCCCTCCAACCGGCTCACAGTGTGTCTAGCCCTACTGCCCACAGCGTTCCTCACATCTGATCTTTGTCCAGCCCGCCCCCCACGCCCTGCTTCATTACTGGATGTCTCCCCCTCCCACCCCCCAGGTCCTCCTGGAGAGAGAGCTAGCCAAGCTGAGCGCAGAACTGGACAAGGACCTGCGGGCCATTGAGACTCGGCTGCCGTCTCCCAAGGTACTGGCCTCTCGGTCCCACTGTGGGGGGGGACCCGCAGACCTGGACAGGCAGCTGCTCCCCATCAAAAGTAGGACCTCAAACTCATGCAGTCCCACTTAACCCGCTGCTGAGAATTTGCCTTTCCACCCAGTTATACGGAATCAAGATTTACGTTTTAATCATTGATTCTCATGGAGCCTTCCAAGAGTCACCTGCTGAAATGCAGCCTGAGTACCCAGGGGTGAAAATGCGTCCGAGGGCAGGAGGGGGCCTGAGGTGCTGCCTGGGACCCCAACAAACTTCCTCCTGGCCTGTTCCCTCCTCTGAGGGCGTTGACTATTCCCAGTGACCCCTAAGAACCCTTATAGGTCAGCTCCAAGTCAGCCCGCCGGGGTGCCAGGGCTCCCCTCCACCCAGCCTTGCCTCACCTTCAACCTCAGCCCTCAGGCACCTACATCCCCTAAAAGGTGCGGATTCTGTGGGTGCTTCCCTCCCTCTCCCGTCCTGATTGCGTGCAGGAGACGCTAGGACCCCGCGTCCCAGCCGCCACGCCCCAGCCTCTTTCCCGGCGTGGCGAGTTCCAAGTTACAAACTTTTCCGGGGTTGGTGGCCTCGCCAGTGCCCGTGCTCCCCAGCACTGACTGGTCACACCTCCCCACACAGAGCTCTCCAGCGACCCGAAGATCTCCGGAGCTCCGAAGGTCCCCGGAGCAGCGGCACCCGGCCGGGTGAGGGTTTGCAGGCATGGGGGGCACGGGGACGTGGCGCAGGGCGGGGCGCGCAAGGCTGGCGCGGGGGCTCAACGCAGACTGGGGAGGGGCCCAGAGCCTCGGCTCCCTGCAAGGGGAGCTGTTCCCTTGCCTATGGAGAGAGGCTTGCCTCAAGTCCCTGGACTTTGGTGGCAGTGCACACCGCGCAGGGAGCCACCGCTGGCTTCATTTTCGTACCCCAAAACTTGGCCTCCTCTGGCCTCTCCCTGGCCCGGGCCTCACCCTTTCCTGACTGTGGCTATCAGGGAAGTAGGACATCCTGTTGAGAGCTCAGGACTTAGGAGACGCCTTGGGAGGAGGTGGTGGTGGCAGCAGGGGTGGATGGACATTTGGGGAGATAGGGGTGAGCCAGGGGGGTGTCCAAGCAGGTGGCTTACTCCCAGTGTCCCTGCACAGCCCTGCCACAGCCTGGAGCTCCAATTCCCCGCATGTACATTACCCGGGGCCCTCGCGATCCCTGAGCCCCCACAGGATGGCAGATGGAGGAAGCCCCTTCCTGGGTCGGAGGGACTTTGTCTACCCTTCCCCAACCCGAGGTAAGGACCACGTCCTCGGCTGCATTTCAGCCAGATGCCCAGCCACCTGCTATCTTGGTCCCTGAGAGTGGCAGAGAGTCCCTGCCTCCTGTGGGGTGGGGTGTGTGTGGACCCCATACCTCAGATGTGGCTCTTCCCCCATCCACTTGACTCAAATCAAACTTCAGATGTCCTCAGGTTTGTTTTGGAACAGTACAATGCACCCTCCTGGCTAACCAGTGACCCTGCAATCCAGGACAGATGCTCATGTCTCCCAATTCATTTTGTGGTGCTGAATCAGTTATATAACTTTATCATGAATATGCTGTGATCTTCATTTGATGGAACTGTGCAAGAAAAGAACAAGGATAAAGGCTATTTCACTGCAGGATTAAGTTGCAATTATCTTCTCAGTGAACGTCATTTGTGATAGGGTCTAATTCTTATTACTTCAACAAATAGTGTTTTGACTTGGGGGGAGGGGCTTACAGCCCAGCTATTTTTTTTCCTCTCATTGATTTTACTGAACTCTTTAGGATGATGACTGATCATAAAAAATCGTATTATAACATTTTCATAGCAAAAATTAACCTTTTTTTCCAGTCACAGTATTTGTGAAAAGTAATGAGCCATAGTACCCAGTCATGTAAAATGATTATTCAAAGCATGGAAAGGAAACATGAGGAACAATGAATTTCAACTTATGGCTTAAGAACATCAAGATGTTCTTGTATTGGATTATAGTATCTAGTATTCAGAAATGCCTGCATCTCTTATTTATTGTAAGTTTTTAAATGTAAAATTGTCTTATATTTCTTAACCTCTTTTATAAAAATTTTCCTAGAAGGTTTATACTGCCTTCTTGCTTTAAAGCAATTGGTCTAAAATATATGTAATCGTCTTAATTAAAAAGTTACAGTAGGAAAAAAAAAAAAAAAACAAAACAAAAAGATGTGACTCTTCCAAACTGAGTTAACGCTTTTCCACAGACTCTAATGCCTCTGATCCAGGGGGCAGCCCAGTCAGGAAGGAAGAGAAGAAGGTAAGGAACAGCCTGTAGAGTTGGGGTTCAGGGAGAGCCGGGGCTGGATCCCCGTAGTTACTGTCCTGGATCTCAGCTAACCCCCGTTTTCTCCCCCTGCCCAGAGGAAAGCTGCTCGCCTCAAGTTTGACTTCCAGGCACAGTCTCCCAAGTAAGTTCCTCTTGTCACCCATGCTCTTCCATCCAGTCCAGAGCTACAGCTTCAGACCCCTGCACCGTGGGGGAGGGACAGGTGGACATTCTCAGAGGCCTAAATGGACAGGGTCTGAGCTGTTGCTGGGCAGGATCTGAAGCAAAGAAGAAACTGGAGCTCTCAACTTGTCCTGATGCCCATGCTCTGACTTGCAGGGAGCTGACCCTACAGAAGGGTGACATCGTCTACATCCACAAGGAGGTGGACAAGAACTGGTTGGAGGGGGAGCACCATGGCCGTCTGGGCATCTTCCCTGCTAATTATGTGGAGGTGAGCAGGGAGGGATGGGAGCAAGCAAGGAGCCAGATTGGGAGGATGAAATAGGTTGGAAATGACGGTCTCTTTATACAGGGTCCCTTGCTAGAACTGACTGATAACTCGTTTATTGACAGACTGTGAGCTCATGGACCAGAGATCACATCTCATGAATGTTTTTGGCCTCCTGGGCCTGTCGCAATGGTTTGCATGCAGGAAATGGTATCCAGGCAGCGTTCTGTGAACTGAAGGCTAATGCTTAGCGGTAGGCAGGACCATAGAACCCAGCTCCTAGGCCAGACTGCCACCCTCAGTGCCACAGGCTTTCAACACTCAAGTCTCTCCCTGAAGCTGCCCCTGGAGTAATTCAGATTGCAGCCACCAAAAGTGCCAGCTGTTTGTCAGTGTACACATCATATAAGCAGTTGTGTCAAGGTAGAAATGTGGGTTTCAGTGACTGGTTTTGGGGAGGAGATCACTTCTGAGGTGTTTCCTAGAGGGGCTAGGTAGTACCACCCAGAGGCAAGTCACCAATACATGCATAGTCTCCTTTGTGTGTTACCTCTTTTGTTTCTCATTAACTTGACAAGTGATCCATTGTTCTCACTTTACAGATGGGTTTGCTAGAGCTCAGAGACAAATTACTAAGTAGAGGACCCAGAAACTATATCCAGATCTTTCAATTCCAAAGCCACATTGTAGATTTGCTATACAAAGGGCTAGGCAGCTTATTTTAATACATTTTATTATTTCACGATGGAGCTCTGATGGCATAATGGGTAAGGAATTGCACTGCCACCCCAAAAGGAGGCTGTTCAAATCTGCCACCTGCTCCGAGGGAGAAAGACAACCAGTGTGCAGCCTCAGTCCCTGTGGAGGCCTCAGCTCTGAGTCAATGCCGACTTGACAGCAATGAGATGAGTTGTTGAGTTGATTCTTTAAACGTCCGTGAGTTCTATAATAATGTTCTTTCATTGTTTTATATTGGTAATCTATGTCTTGTTGTGGCTAGAAATGTATCAATTTTATTGAATTTCTTCCCTGAAGAGCTAGCTTTTTCTTTCATTGTTGTCTTTGTTTCTCTTTCCTTTTCATTGATTTCTGTTCTTTTTTTCCTCTTCTGCTTTCTTTAGATTTCATTTGTGCTTAATTCTACTTCCTTAATATTTTTAATCCAGAACTTTTCTTTTTGTCTGATATAAGCATGTAATGCAATAAATTTTCCTTTACACTCTTCTTTAGCCGTGTGCCAAATTTTGATATGTTGTGTTTTTATTCTTTTCCAAAAATATTTTCTCATTTTCTGTGATTTCCTTTTTCAATCCATGGGCATCAATAAGCCTCCCGTACCCTCAGGATAATCATTCTGATCTTGAAATTCCGCAGAGTATGTGCAATACTTTTATCAGTCATTTACGTCTTCATGTAAAGTAGTTTATCTCCTCCTTGATTTGGGGGAGTGGGGTGGAGAGAACATGGGTATGCGGGGCACCTGGTGGAGGATCAGGCAAGGTTGGCTGTCCTCAGGAGCTGTTTGGAATTCCGCATTCCCTTTTGTGTTCCAATTTAAAGTCTCCACCTGCCCTTGCTTCCACTTCACAGGTCCGCACTTGCCGTTCCCCACTCCTGTAAGGGCCACTTCACATACTTTACAGAAAATTCCTCCTCCCGAGAGGCTGGGTGGACCGACCACACTCTGGACTGTGGTTCCCCCCGGCAATCCCTAATGCTGCTGTCTATGTCTGTCATATCAATGGCCTGGGGTTGGATCTTGCATGGCCCCCTTCTCTTTTCCTTCTTTTGTTTTCCGTCGTGTCCTTGTCTCACACTCCTCCTCAGTCTCTGACCTGTACCTAGCTGATGCTCATGCAGCTGACCCATGACCTTTGCTCCGGCAGGTGTTGCCAGCTGATGAAATCCCCAAGCCCATCAAGCCACCGACCTATCAGGTGCTGGAATATGGAGAAGCCCTGGCCCAGTACAACTTCAAGGGGGATCTGGACGTGGAGTTGTCCTTCCGAAAGGTGGGGTCTGGCCTGGTGGGACATGGTGGAGCAGGGCGGGGGCAAGGGAAGACACAGTTAAATACATGCATTTAAAACATTTTCAAAGCAGTCAGGGCAGCACATATACTAAAATCGGAATGACACGAAGATTAGCATGACCCCTGCACAAAGATGGCATGCAAATTCGTTATGCGTCCCATATTTTAAAAAAGTCAGTTGTATCCCGTTACTCAGTATTTCAATTTCCCCCTAGATCTTCAGATTCCCCTTAATTTATCCCCTTTTCAAAAGGTTATTATAAATTTCTAGAGTTGTGCCATATTGAGTAGTAGCACAAAAGAGTTTTTAATTGCTGGTTGGTAGGTCATGGAGGTTTTAAAAAGAATAGATATATAGAACACTCTGCATGTAAAAAGAGTACTTTAGTTATGTATACACACATATGTGTGTACTGGTTTATATTAAGGCCCTTTTTTTACTATAAATTGTGTTCAAAAAAGTTTGAAAAATATTGTCCTAGAAAGCAAAGAACTGGTCTCCCTTTGTTGCGTGTCTGGGACTGAGGCCATGAACGTCCTGAGTGAGTGCCATCTGGAGCAGCTGGTCCCTGGGAGGGAGGGACGCGGGTGGCTGGGTGGAGGGAGAGTAGAGCTGACCTTCCTCCCAGGACAGGATGGCCATGGCTCTGCCGCTGATGTCAGCACTTGGGGCCCGCTGCCTGCCCTCAGGGTGTTGATATTTGGAGGCACTGGTGACAGGGTCATCCTGAGTGCAAGGGAGGGGGCCAGGACAGCCACAGCAGTGATGGCTGACGTTCATCCAGTGCGTCTCACGTGTCCACCATTGATTGCATTTGTTCCTTGCAGCAATAATATTGCTATCTCCTCTTAAAATGTGAAGGGGGCCTGGGTGCAAGGTTGTTGTGGATCTCTCCAGTGGCTCTGTGGGAGAAAGAGCTGGCAATCCACTTCTGTGAGGTGACAACTGTGGAAAGCCATCTGGACAGCAGTGTTCTGAAACAAACGCAGATGCCATGAGTTGCCTGTACAGCAGTGGGTCCTCAGCACGTGAGGAAACCAGGCTCAGAGAGGCAGAGTGACCTGCTCACGGTCACACAGCTAGCAGTTGGTGGAACTGGTTTCGGATCCCATGCTGTTCATTTCCATGCTCCCTGCAAGTGGAGAGGGATGTGCTGTGAACTGGGAGGGGGATGTGTGCAGGGTAGACTCAGAAGAAACAGGGCTTGATCCAAACCCAGTGTATTGTGGCAACTTGGGGTTAACTCCTAACTCTACCACTTAGCTTTGTGACTCGACAGCCTGTTGAACCCCCGCAGGCCTCATCCTCCTGTACACGATGTTCACCTCAAACAAAACAGCCCACCAACAGTCTCAACCAGCTCATAGCTGACCCTCCCGTAGGCTTTCAGGGTTTGTAAGTCCCAGCTGAGGAGATTGCCCGTCTTCTCCCACGGAGCAGCTGGTGGATTTGAACCACTGTCTTTGAGGTGGCGGCGCAGCTAGGCCCCCAGAGCTCCCTGGAAGGCCTAACCCCAGTGACAGCCCTCAGCGGCTCACTCTTCTCACCACCACCAGGGGGAGCGCATCTGCCTGATCCGGAAGGTGAACGAAAACTGGTATGAGGGACGCATCTCGGGCACAGGGCGCCAGGGCATCTTCCCCGCCAGCTACATCCAGGTGTGCCGTGAGCCCCGGCTGCGGATCTGCGATGACAGCCCCCAGCTCCCTGGATCACCTCACCTGCCCTCCACTGCCCGTCTGGCCCGGAACCCCAGCTCCCCCTCCACCCCTCGCAGACCAGCCAACCCTACGGACTGGGGGGGCCCAGCCTCACCTCTCAGCTCGAGCTTCTCTTTACCTACCCAGGAGACAAGACCGCAGGCCGAGGTAAGGCAGCTTGCCTCCTTAAGAGCACTGAACCCTGCTCCTGAGCCACATCCCCTGCCCTGGGCCCTGAGGCACAGCAGAGGGTGACTGGGGAGGACCTGTCATGGCTGTCCAGCCCTAGCCCTGGGCCCCTCATACCACATGAGATGGTTCTAGTCCTTGAATTCCAGTCCAGGGAGGCATAGGGCAGCCAACTAGCCCTAAGGAGGACCCCAAAGCCAGCCCAGGCCATCCTGACCCTCCATAGTACCACTCTATGCTAATTTGTATGCTGTCTGAGAGTCACAGATCTGTCATTTACCTGCTGTGTGGCCTTGGGTGGATAACTTTCCTTCTCTGGGCTCAGGTTTTACCTGTAGAAAGGGGATAATACTTCCCACTACATATGGCAGTTGGATAGACTGAAGTATAAGTTTATAGTAATGTTGTTTTATACCATCAAGTCACCTCATCAGCCCTATGAAGAGTGGATCTGAACCCTGCCCTATCCTGTGCCCCCTCACCATATCCAACACACGAGCCCACTGCTGCTGTCTCCATGTCAGTCCATCTTAGTGTAGGTCTTCCTCTCTTGCATTAACCACCTTTCCAAGCATGATGGTCCTTCTCCAAAGACTGGTCCCTCTAAACAGCCTGCCCAAAGAATGTGAGGCTGTTTTACCATCCTTGCCTCCAGGGACTGCTCTCGTTTCACTCTCTCCAAGTCAGATGTGTTTATTCTCGACAGTCCATAGGATATCCATTATTCTTCTCCAACACCGCAACTCACATTCATCAGTTCTTCTTCTGTTATCTTTAGTGATTGTCCAATGTCCAGATGCATAACAAACAGTTGAAAGTACCATGGTTTAGATCAAATGGTTTAGTCTTCAAATTGACATCATTACTCTTCAGTATTCTAAAGATATCTCCAACATAACATCTCTTAGATGATGGATAAAAGATAGCATTATTCCTGGTGCTACACCACTGGGCCAACTGGCAGCACCATGACAGATGGAGAAGGGATTGAGGTTGTTAACAGTTACAGCTTACTCAGATCCACAATCAACACTCTTAACACCAGAAGTCAGGAAATCAAAAGACAAATTACACTGGGAAAATCTGCTGCCAGGGACCTTTTCAAAGTACTAAGAAGCAATGATGTCAGTCTAGAGACTAAGGTACACCTAATCCAGGCCATAGTCTTTACAATTACTTGCATCAGAGAGGTGGACAATGACTAAGGATAACTGAAGAAGAATTGATGCCTTCGAGTTGTGCTGGAAAAGAGTCTTTAACATGGACTGCCAAGAAAACAAATAGGTCTGCCTTGGAAAGTGTGAAACCAAGTTTCTCCTCGGAGGCTAGGGTTTTGAAGCTCCATCTCACATACTCTGGGCATGTGGCCAGGAGGTCGTTGGAGAAGAACATCATGCTTGGAAGGGTAGAGGGAGAGTGTAGTAGAGGAAGACCCGGATGAGATGGATAGATACAGTAACTGGAGTAATGAGGGTGGGTGTGTCAGGGCCAGAGAGACTAGGTCAGGACAGGGCAGGCTTCATGAGAGCTGTTGTACGTAGGCTCACCTGCACAAAACAGCAAGAACAACAGTGGAGGCCACAATGTATGTGTACCTTCTGGGTATTTGTTTGCCTTCCGCCCATTCACTTGGTGACCCTGGGTCACACCCTCTCTGGCTGGCGGCCTTGGTGACCTGGAGCTACTGCGGGTCCTGAGGTCCAGGTGCAGCCAGTACATGGGACGACTCCTTCTCCTGGCCTTGTGTTCTCTTACTGACCTGCCTCAACTTCCCAGCACCTATGAAATAACACTGCTCAAACCAGATCTTCCCTGTGCCGGAGGATTTGTGAGAACGGGATAAAAACCAAAAATGCTTCGTGCAGGTGAATTGTGAGGCCTGTATCCGTTCTCCTCCCTGTCATCTTTGTCCTCTGACTTTTCTTCTGTGAACCCCTAGAGTCTCAATACCCCCGGATCAGCTCAGCTCAGTCCTCGAGGTGCCAACCATCCCCTGGACCTGGGAGTCTCCTCCTCTTCCTCCTCCTCCTCTACTACCACTCAGATCCAATGGACCCCGTGAGTACCATCTAGGGGGGCAAGGTCACGGGGATGTCAGCAGTGCCGAGCACACTGGCCTCCACATTCTCCTACTCCCTCGAGCACGTGTTTGGTAAATTCCCTCTCATTAGAAGCTGCCCGTGGGGAGCTTATAGGTCATTTAGAGGCTGGTAAGACAGCACCTGTCAGCGTTAGTCCGGGTCTGACCCATCACGCAGCCTTAAAGCCGCCTCCTTGCTCCTCGGCCTCTTGGCTGGGCCTCTTTATTGGGATCCCAACCCTGAGGTCAGTGCTGGAATAAACCATGGCTGAGAGCTGGTAGAACAGACTCGAAGGCTCTGGGAGCTCAGAAGTGGTGAGGTTTGGGTGGTTAGGGTGTGGAGGGCGGGAGGCAGGCCCGTACCCAGCCGAGAGCTGTCACTCAGGGAGACAGGCCAGAACTGATGGGTACATGGCGGGACCTGGGCTTGCCTCTTCTTGAGCTCAGAACCTCCCGGCCTGCTCTGGGGGAGGTTGCCATGGTGATCCGTCCCACAGATACCAGGCGATGTACCACTACCGGCCCCAGAATGAGGATGAGCTGGAGCTGCAGAAGGGGGATCGGGTGGACGTCATGCAGCAGTGTGATGATGGCTGGTTCGTGGGTATGTGGGCCCGAAAGCAGTCTTTGAGGGGTGGGGGGATGTCTTCTAATCTCCTGAGCAGAGGGACCAGGCCTTACACTTGTCTCCTTTTCCTTCTCCCACCCTCTGCCCCACCCAGCTGACTCACAGCACACACACACACACACCCACCCGTGAGGCCAGATCCTAACCTCTCAGGGTGGACCCAAGGGAAGTTTGGGCAAAAGGCTGAAGCAGCAAAACATTGGGTAGCCTTGGCCTGGTTCTGTGTGGGCCACCTGCTGGGTTCCACATGATCTGTTTCTCCAGAGTGGACAGGCTCTGGTCAGACCTCAGCTTCAGGGTATGGGACAGTCCCCAGAGAAGTCCTACTTTACAGTGGAAACTTGGAGGGCACCTGGGCAGGAGTGGCCCCAGGCCGGTCTCTCACCCTGGTGACCAAGCGCCCCATAGCAGTGATGTGTTAACAGTACCTCTCAGGGGTGAGCTGGGCTGCATTGTTATTAGGTGTCATTGAGTTCACCGTGAACCACAGATCTGAACCCCGTCCTGTCCTGTGCCATCCTCACCCTTCCTGACACATCCTTTGTGGCAGTCACCGTGTCAACCCATCAGGTTGAGGGTCTTCCTCTCTTTCACCAACGTTCTGCTTTTCCAAGCGTCATGTCCTTCTCCAAGGAATAGCTCTCCTAGCAATGTGCCAATGTATTGTGAGATGGAGCTTTGGCTTCTTGGCCTTCAAGGAGCACTCTGACCTCATTTTCTCCAGGATATGTCTGTCTATTCTATTGGCCGTCCATGGGATATTCAGCACTCTCCTTCAACACCATAATTCAAAGGCAGCAGTTCTTCTGTCATCCTTACTTATTGTCCAGCTCTCAGATGCATAGCAAGTGATTGAAAATATATTTGAATATCACAGTCTGTATATCTACTTTTTCCATTGAATAAATTATGTAACTTACACAGGCAGGAAGGAAATCACCCTTAGTGATGCAAGCCGCAGTGTTCTTAGAGGAAAAATCTAGACCTGCACAGCTCAGTGTAGTAGTAGGTGTATGACTCTTGACAACAAAATTCAGAAAATGAAGCACAATATAAAGCTCAATTCCTTGCCCATGAACACATTTCCTGTGCTCAGTAGCTTCATTTGGCTGGTGGTTATCATTTGGACCGTGTAGGTTTACCTCAGTGTGGGCTGCTCAGGGAAGGCTCCCCGGAGGAGGTGGTGGGGCTGGGCCTTGAAGGGCAAGGAGCAGAACTTGAAGAGGTGTAGAAAAGAGGAGCATTTCTGTCAAAAAAAATAGGATCAGCTGGGCCTGAGGCCAGCATGAGCATGCTTTTCAGGGCAAAGGAAGAAGATGAGCTATCTTAGTTACCTACTACTGCTGGAACAGAAATACCACAAGTGGGTGTACTTAATGAGCAAAACTTATTTTCTCACCATTTAGGAGACTGGAAGTCTACGTTAGAGGATGGTCTTTGTTTCTCTTCTGCTCCTGTTCCTGAGCTCCTGGGGGTTCTTCATGGGGCATCAGCTCCCATCTGTGCTCTCTTTGTGTGCCTGATCTGCACTTTCATATCTCAGAAGCTACTGGTTCAAGACATGCACTACACTGATTGTATGGCCTCATTACTGTATTTATAAATACGCTGAAGATCATCCCAACATGGCTAGAACAATACTTTGAGAGAAGTTCCAGTTGGACTTAGAAGAGGCTGTGGCTCCACAGATATCATTGCTGATATCAGATGGGTTCTGGCTGAAAGCAGATGATACCAGAAGAAGATCTATTTGTGCCTTATTGGCTACGCAAAGGCATTTGGCTGTGTGGCTTATAAGAAATTATGGCTAACATTGAAAAGAATGGGAATCCCAGAACACTTAATTATGCTCCTATGAAACCTAGACCAAGAAGCTGTTGTCTGAACACAGCAAGGGAACACTATGTTTTAAAATTAGGAAAAGTGTGCATCAGAGTTGTATTCTTTCTCCATACCTATTCAGTCTGCATGCTGAGCAAAATCATTTGAGAAGAGGAACTATTAAAAAGAATGGTGTGGGGTGAGGATTGGAAGAAGACTCATCAACAGACTGCATTATGCAGACAACATAACCTTGCTTGCTGAAAGTGAGGAGGACTTGACCAGTGTGCTGCAGAAAATCAAAGACTTGAGCCTTCACTATGGATTGCATCTCAACATCAAGAAGAATCTTCACCACTGGACTGATAAGCAACATCATGATAGATAGAATATAATAGATGATAGATAGGTAGATAGATAGATAGAAAAGAGAGAAAGAAAATATTGAAGTCGGTGATTTCATCTTATTTGGATCCACAATTAACAGATTTGGTAGCAGTTTTCAAGAGATCAGGAGACATTCCACTGGGAAAGTCTGCTGTCAGAGACCTCTCCAAATTACTAAGGAACAATTGTTGCAGCCCAAGGGTCCCAAAGAATGAAATAATTTTATAATTATTAATAATGAGACAGACTACCAGGAATGATATAGAGCACAGAGTGTGAAAAACAGTGGGCCAACAGTTCCCATGACTGAAGGCCCCAAGCCATGCTTCTCTGAGTATTTATTTAGAATCATAAGGAAGGTAAGCAAAGTAAAATCACAAGGAAGTACAAAGCAAAATCAAAGGATAATGGTGAAGTCTTTTACAGATAAGGCCAAGTTCCTCTTTATGCTAATCTCAGGAGGGAAGGATTCATTTGACACAAACTAAGAACAATGTTGACTCCTAGGGAATGCCCCAATGCCACAAGGTGACCTTCAGCTTGTATCAAGCTTCCCTCATTTCCCCATACAGCATTTGTTGTTGTTGTTGTTGTTATGTGCCCTCGAGTCGCAGGCGACTCATAGTGACCCTATGAAGAAGAGTCCTCGACGTTTGGGTGCCTTTCATCCTCTCTCCAGGTTCATAGGGTTTCCGGAGGCAAGCTATTATGAAAGTGAATGCCACTCCTCCTTCCACAATACAGCATTTGGTCTACTATTATTAAATTTGATATTCGGCTTCCCTCAAACAATGATGTTGGTTTGAAGACTAAGGTGGCACTTGATTCAGGCCATGGGCTTTTCAATCACTTGTTATGCTTTTGAGAGTTGAATAATGAGTAAGGATGACAGAAGAAGAATTTATTCCTTTGAGCTGTGGTTGGAGAAGAGGACTGAACATCCTATGGACTGCCCAAAGAACAGACAGATATGTCTTGGAGAAAATGCAGCCAGAGTTCTCTGTGGGGCAAAGATGCCAAAGATCCATCTCATATACTTTGGGCTTATTGCTAGGAGAGGCTATTCCATGGAGAAGGGATATCATGCTTGGAAAGATGGAGGGTCATTGCAAGAGAGGAATATCCTCAATGAGATTGACACAGTAACTGCAGCCATGAGCTCAAGTGTATCAAAAATGATGAAGATGGCACAGGATAGGACAGGGTTCAGGCTGTTCATAGGGTCACTGTGAGTCACACTTGACTCAACAGTATCTAACAACAGCAGCATTAAAGTTACAAAACCCCATTCCCAAAGGGGATTATTTCCACAGTTACAGGGTTGGGATTTACAAAAGGTATTTTGGGAGACGTGATACAATAACTCCAGCACCTGGGGCATCAGTCTACCTCAAGTTGGAACTAGCCTTTATGTAATTCCCTATCCCTGACCTCTTAGCATTCCCTTTACATTCCTTGGTCTCCAGCACTCTGTGCCCAAGAGATTTAGAAATTGTAGCAGATAGGAAGCCCAGAGTTTGTTCTGATTCTACCTCTAACCAGCTTTCAGGCACTTCAGTCAGACTTTTCTTGAGCTCTGGCCTTCCCTTCTGTCAAATGAAGTTCTCATATTTGACAGTGAGGTTTTCCTTGATAAAGTCTTCCAGCTTCCTCCCTTTCCCAGGGAAGGATAGAGTTATGAAGAGCTGTGTACAGTGTTGTGCCTATTTGTTGATGGCTCAGATTGTTTTGGTTAGAGGAAATTGTGGAGTTAGGAAGTGTAGCTGTGTCTAGCCTAACCTTCTGCCTCCGGGGTTAGGAATGAGGAACGCAGTCCCTCCTCACCGGGAAGGAGCTCCACATGCAGTTTTGGACACTGCCCCAACACACTGAGGAGATAAAAGGAGGAGAAAGAATGTGCTTTTCTGTCCTTCCTCTTTCAGGTGTCTCCCGGAGGACCCAGAAATTTGGGACATTTCCTGGAAATTATGTAGCCCCGGTGTGAGTGGTCTCCGTGGCAAATCGGAGCTCAGCCAGGAAGAGCCGGGAGCAATAGCACTTTGGGGAGGGAGAGAGGACCACCCCCCCCCACATCATCCCGGCCTTGGGCCTGAGCCCCTGGCATCTGCAAACAACCCCAGAAGCCTTTCCCTTGGAGGGAGCCCCCTCCAAGCCCCCTGGACTGCTCCCCACCCACAATTCACAGACATTCCTGACAGCCCTTTCATCTCCTCCCCCAACCCCTCCCCAAATACAGAGGCCTACTTTGAAGTGGAGATGTTTCCAGGCCTTATTGAGACCAGACCCCAAGCCCCCTGCCCCCACTACTGTTGCCTCTAACAGGGCCCTGGCTCCCAGCTTCACCCCCATGGGGTTCCTCTAACCAGGACCAGCTTCCTAACCTAATAGAGACCAAACGCCTCTGCCCACAGGGGACTCTTCCCTTTTCAATCCAGTTCGCCCTATTGCCTTCCTGCTTCCGGCTGGGCCTGGGAGCAAGGTGGGGGACAGATTGAGCTGTCGCTTTAGCCTTCCAGGCCCTGTGGGTCTTCCCTTAGGCCACTCTCTGCAGAGGCTGCAAAGCCTGGCCAAAGCTCTTGCTGGGCTGTCCAGCCTGCTGACCCCACAGGAGGACTAGTCTGCCCCAGATGTCTTCCAGGGGAGACATGTTTGCTGCCCTCCTGCCTCCCACTTTTCCATCCCAGTCCCCAAATTCCCTCTGGAAGAGAATGTAAAATAAATCTGGAGGACAGTCTTCGTCTCTGAGTCCTTTATGTCGGGAAAACAGCCTAAGGTTATGAGAATTCTTTCTGCAGGGCACTGTGATGGGCATTGTGGGAAACAGGTGGGGATGGGGTCAGGGAATATGAAAAAGCATTATTATCTAAAGAGCTCAGCTCAGGCCTCCAGCAGGATCTAGCATCTCCTAGGACCGGGCTGAGCCGTGCTGAGCACAGAGTGTCACGGGACCAGGGCAAGGCCCGATTGTGGAGAGAAATCAGAGTCACAGGGCAAGGCCCGATTGTGGAGAGAAATCAGAGTCACAGAGCTGAATGTGGCCTTGTTCACGGGCTGTTTTTTGATGCTGGAGCAGCCATGGGGCTAGATGACATTTATAGCTGTTCTACTGCTAATGTTTTCCTTCTGTGTGTTTTATTTCCACACTGAAACTCTGTGGTTTTTTGGTGGTTGTTTTTCCTTTAACTTTGGGCTTGGGTTTTTGAGCAATAGGCTGTGGGAAGCTGGGAGTGGTAGGCCATGGCCCGCCAAAGCCACTGGTCTTGCCCAAGGTTTCAGATTTCCCGGGGCAGGGTGGTTCTGGGTGGGGGTGCCATGATGTGGGTGTGGCTATGCCACCAAGGAAGGAAAACTTCGTTCCTCAGTTGCTTCTGGGAGTTGAGGATAGTAGGTAAGCATCACAGCAGGCTGCCTTTATGATTCCATGTCACAGAAAGAGAAACCGTGAGGTCCTGAAATCTCAGTGTCTGGGCCTCATGGAATGATAAAATCAGGATCTAACTGAAACCTAATGATTGTTCCTACTTCGCTGAAACCTAACAACCCAGCTGTCCTTGTTCAAGGGCCCCTGGAAAGGAAGATCTTGTGGCACAGGACTTTGTTGAGACCCACTAAGGGCTGTTTGTCATAACTGCTTTATGTTCTCCCTGGAACTTTTGTCTTCTTGGCTTGTCACTGAAGTGACTAAATGGCTAATGTGAAGGGTGATGGTGCCTGGTTCAGTCAGGACAGAGGTGGGTGGGCCTGTGACGCAGAGCAGTGGCCTGGTCCTGGCAGATTCCTTGAGCCTAGGTGTGGCCAGAGGCCCTGGGAAGAGTTTAAATGGCAGCTTGAAGAACAAGACCTGCATGGATTCCTTTTCCCCATAAGTTCCCCTATCCCAGTCATCAGGCTGGTTCTGAGTTCCACAGGTCCATACTAGCTTTGAAAAGATCCTCAGGAATCTTAGGTTTATGATCCCTCATCTCAGCTCCTTTCACATTCACTGATGTCCTCATAAAAGATAAGAGGGTTCAGACTTCCTTTCCAAATCCACACCCTTTCTCTGATGGGGCCCTGAACTTTCCCCAGGCAAACAAACCCAATGCCTCTGGGCTGCCTGCTGGGTAAAATGATGGTAATCCTGCCTGTGAGATGACGTCTGTGATTTGACCAGCAAAAGGCATGAGGCAGGAGGTCTGAGGAGTAGGGGTGAGGAGAGCCATGGGCACTTGATATGTGGCTCATTGGCTCAAGACATAAGAGAGTCAAAGAGGACCTTAGGCCTCTGGGAATTGTCCTCCTTCCCCCCTGCCTTATAGAGATGAGGAGGTGAGGGACTGTTCAGGCCACAGAGTTAGGCCTTGGATTATGCTGTCTTTGTTGTGGCTTTTGGGAGTGCACATTCCACCCAGCAGCAGACTTTGTGGCTTAGTCTCTGAGATATTTCTTCAGATCGTTCAAGGCAGAGTTAAGAGGGAAAGGGGGCATCCAACAGAGTACCTGCCACAAATAGGAAGCAGAACATGAGGGAGGGAAGAAGGAAAATCCATTTGTTCCATTTTTTCAAGTAATACTCAACAAATATTTATTGCATGGCTGCTATGTGCCTGGCACTGTACTGGGCTCTAGAGATGGACCAGCGACCCAAAAGAAAAAAAAACTTTGTTTCCAGAGGACACCTGTGTGACAGCAACTTTAGATGAGAAGAAAATCTGCACAGCAGTAAGAGGGCAAATGATACATTACCTCCATCTTCCACCCGGAGAAACTGAGGCCTCAGAGAGCTAAGGAAATTGCCTAAAATCACACAACCAGGAAGAGAGGGTCCTGACATTTGAGACTAGATGTAAGTTCCCTCAAAGCTGTGCTTGTCCTACCTGCAGTTTCCTGCTCTTTCAAGAGGTTTCTGGTCTAGTTGGGGAGGTCTTACAGGTGCATAAAGAAAAGTGGCCATAGCAGGAGGCTTAGGGCTAGATACTGTGAGGGTGGTGTATGGCTGATCTACGTGCCCTGGGTGGAAGCAGATGACTGAATCCCAGCACGGGGTAGGTGGGGATGGTGGTGGGGCCACTCACTCCTACCAGAGAACTCAGGAGGAATGATTCACAGCTGAAGCAGGCAAGTTACAGCTGTGCCCGCGGGGGGTGCTCCTCTGATAGACAAAGTGTGAAGTCCAGCCCAATTGGAGGTGGAAGGATGGACTCTGGTGGAGCCTGAGGTCCCCAGGGTGAAGCCTGCTGGTCTTGGAAAGATGGTCGCTCCTTCCTGAGCTGGCCGCTGGGACCATCTCTTTTTGGCTGTCCTTTCCTGATCCCCAGAGCCTGGTTTCCAGGTGGTGGGCGGAAGTTCTAGGGGGCAGGGCCAGAGGTGATTTTCAGGACTGGCCCATCCCAAGGAAGACAGCAGAGCAGTGAGGTAAGGCAGCTTGCAAAAGGCGTCAGTCCGAAAGATTGAAGGAAGTGGCCAGCACGGGGAGGTGCGGTAAGGCCATTTCAGCGTCTCTTTGTGTGACCTGCTGGTACCGCAGGGGGTCGCCCATCGGAGAAGACTGTGGGGAATCGCAAGCCAAAGCGGTCCAGACGGGCAGTCAGCTGGGGTCCCGTGCACAGAGAAGCTCTGTGGCCACCGCCAAGCAAGGGCGCCAAGTTCGGGACTGGCGCTGGGCCCAAGGCCTGGTTTGGAACGCGCGGCGTCTGTGCAGGTATCTGAGCTGGGAGTGGGCAGAGGAGCCGTGGGGACGGCAGACAGACCCACCCACTTCTTCCCGACCCTGACCTTGGTGGGGTGCCCTCGGGCCCCTCTGTAGGGGGCGTGGGAGAGCTGCAGGGGGCGTGGGAGAGCTGCAGGGGAAGCGGCCTCGGCTGTCTGCGCGGTGGGTTGGGCCGGTGTTGGGGCCGCTCCCCCTGCTCCCCGGGAAGGGTAGTTGGGCGCGTGGGACGATTGCGGCCCGCAGGGGGCGCCGGCGAGCACCCCCACCGCGGAGCACAGCGCCGGCCAGGTGGCCTCGCGCGGGGCTGGAGTGCGCGGAGGCGGCGGCTTCCCCGGCCAGGGGCGGTGGCAGGGGCGGCCCCCGGATCACATGGGCGGAGGCAGGTCCCGGAGCCCCGGGCGGGCTCTCCCCAGAGTCAGGCAGAGGCGGCGGCGGCGGCGCATCTCCTCCCTCAGCCCTTCCCGCCCGGCCCGGGCCGCCCAGCCCGACAGGTGAACGGCAGCCAGGTGAGTGCGCCCACCTGCGCCCCCCGCAGGCAGCTACGGCATGCGGGGTTCTCGCCGCCCCTTGTCCCCCGCTCCCCGCTCTCCGTCCGCGCACAGCGCGGTGTCCGACCCTGGTCCTGGCTTGCAGCCCTACTCTGCAACCTCGTCCAAGTGTGGGCGCTGTCCCTCTGGCCTGGGGGTACTTTGGCGTTGGAGCGGACCAGACTCCAGAACTGGGGAACCTGGACCGGCAGACCCAACACCTTCCCAGGGCGTTTGCAGCACGGAGTCCACTGACCGGCTCAAAGGTCTGAGGTCTCATTGCGTCTGCCAGCCTCTGACGCTGACCTGGGACCTGAGGAGGGAATGAGGCTGCTGGGGTTCAAGGCAGATAGAAGTGTCTGCCGAGGTGCCTGAACTTCAGGATCCTGGGTGCAGGAAATAGCCCTGTTGTCCCTGACAGATTCAGGCAATCCTTATAGTCTCCGAGCCTCTCCAGGGACAGCCTGGTGGGTGCAGGGTAGGGTGGGGGCACTGCAGTTTCCTGCCAGGGTTGGCTCCTGGCTCCAGAAATTGAGGCGCAGGAAATCCTACCAGGGCCTGGTCCACAAGAACACACCCTTGCCCTGTGGAGGGGGCCACGGACAGGCGGCCTGTGGCCCCAGCTGGCAGGCAGCACCAACAGACTGGCAGGCAGCATCCGTAGCCTCGCAGGCTTAGCTGGGATGGGGAGTCAGCTTGCCCTTGCCTGGCTGGCCAACACCAGGGGGTGGGTGTGCCCAGCCTGGCAGATGAGCTGGGTTTTCTTGCCAGGGCTGTTCAGAGGGCGGCAGGACCCTGATGGAGCCTTGCCCACCTGATCTGCATTGCCCAGGCCTGGTGGGCAGCCAGGAGGCCCCTCTCAGTCAGCCCCTGACCGAGCCAGCTCCTTACCGGCTGTGGTGGCACTACTGGCACCACCACTTCCTTGCTGTCACCCCTGTTTCCCAGAGCCCTGAGGTCCCAAGACTATGTGCCTGCCCTCCCCCAGAGTGGGGAGGAAGTACCTTGTACTGTCGGTTTTGGGGACAGGAAGCAACCACTAGTGCACAGGGTGGTGGAGGAGGGGGTGAGGGAGGAAGTACTGACATCTAGCACTCAGCGGCCCCTGCCCACCCACCTCCGGGAAGCCCTTGTGTGGGACAAGCCCTGGGACAGCTTGCCTCCTGAGAGCAGGACCACACCGAGGGGGAACTCACTCACTGCTTCCCATGGTGGGGGGAAGTGAAAGTGGGCGACGCAGGAGGGCTTATCCCCTTCTGCTGCTTACTCACCCACCCTTGCCCTTGACCCGCTGCTCTGTGGGCCTGCCATCTCCTTCTCATCTCCTTTTTTCACTGTCCCCCCTCTTCCTGAGTCTCTGGGGAGGTGGAGACAGCCTCTACCTCTTGGGTTTCCTCCTCAGGTATGGCGCTGACAGTGGATGTGGTGGGACCTGCGCCCTGGGGCTTCCGCATCACGGGGGGCAGAGATTTCCACACCCCCATCATAGTGACCAAGGTAAGGGTGAGATCTGAGGGACCAGGAGGTGACGCCAGAAGTGATGGCCTGCCCTGGCCTCTCTGGTCCTCACAGACATCGTTCTATTTTGTTCTGGAGCCAGAGGCCTGCTTCTGGGAGTGTGGGTGGGAAGGGCCTGGGGGGAATGCCAGGCCCTGTTGCCATGGGGATATGATGGCCACTTCAAGAACAGGGCCTGCCCTCTTCTCCTGGCCACTCACCACATACCTGCTTGCAGCCATTTTGGGTGGTTGCTGGAACAAGAGCCCCCGCGCTGTTAGTTGTAGTTGTTCGTTTCCTCTTGACCCAGGTCTGGGTCTTGGCTGGGGGGTGCTCTTGGGGAGGCCCAGCCTACAGGCAGCCACCTGCCAGGTGTGATCTGCACGGGCAGGGCTCCCTATCCAGAGTATTTCCAATCACAGTTCCTGAAATCCTGCCATTACACATTCTTTAGGAGGCCCCCATTAGTATGGCAGTGCTCCAGGGGTGGGGTGGGGCTGCCACTCCAGTTTTCGGAGGGGATTAGCTGATGGCTGACTGAGGGCAAGCCCTGAAACAGCAGTCTTGGGACAGAAGGGCAGAGGAAGGCATTTTAAAGGGGGTGTGGGCCAGCCTGGTCCAGAAACAAACTTCCCTGGTTTCAGGGCTAGGAGGGAGGAGGGAAGCCCCTTCTCCTCCTCCTCTCTCTAAGGGTGGCTGAGAGGACAAGGACTCACCAACTCCTCATCCCCTAAAGGTAACCGAACGGAGCAAAGCTGAAGCTGCTGACCTCCGGCCTGGTGACATCATTGTAGCCATCAATGGAGAGAGTGCGGAAGGCATGCTTCACGTAGAGGCCCAGAGCAAGATCCGACAGAGCCCCTCACCCCTGCGACTGCAGCTAGACCGGTAGGACCCCCACCTCTGCTCCCTAAGCCTCCTAGCAATCCCCCTCAGCCAGCTCACTGCCCAGGCAGCCATCCTGACCTTCGCTGGCCTCCCCATGAGCCTCTTTTGTCAACTTAGATGAAGGTCCTGGGCACTTGACACAGCAGCAGGCACTGCAGGATGGGCTGGGGGGTGTCCCTGTGCCCGGTGAGTGGAGGTGGGTGCCAAGCCAGGCATGCAGCCACAGGCAGGGCAGGGCGGGCTGGCACTAGCCACCTGGAAGCCCGGGTTTGACTGGTTCCCACGAGTGTGAGGGGTGCGGGGCACGTGCTCCAAGTGGGTTGAAGAGGGGAAGTTTCTGGGTAAGGTGTGCCCTGGGCTGGGGCTCCTGGACTCCTGTCTCCGGGAAGGTAGGTGGCCTTCGTATAGGTGTGGTTTGGGAGTTCTGGGGCGCCATTCCCCACAGAGCCACGCTGGGTCCTGCAGAGCACAGACCTTTGTAGGGTTTTGAGCCTGGAGACAGAAGGTGCAGAAGTGGGAGGAGAGGAGAACAGGTGGCTCTGTGGGTGAGGCACCTCGAGTCACGAGTCAGGAATGCTAGGAGATTCCCTGGCCAGGAGAGTCCTCTGCACCTCCAACCTAAGTCAGACGCCTCCGGCCTCCCCACCACCAGGCTTTTTCTTTCTCTGTCTCCACGTATCTTCCTTACCTGCTGCCCTGGCCGTGCTGCAGGAGGTGGTGTCCCAGATACAGTGACAACCCTGGCCCCTTGAGGGACTCCTAATACCATCCTGCACCACCAGTGTTTGCAGGAGTGAGATCCGGAGGAGGAGGGTGGGGAGTATCTCATGGCCTCTGGGAATCTGACCAAAAGCCACGCTCTGGGGTGGGGGAGGGGCAGGGGTTGCTGATGCCAGACTTTCTTCCCAGGTCCCTCTCAGGAGTCAGAGGTCAAGGCAGTGGTCCATGCTGGGCACCCCTTGCCTTTGGTTCCAGCTCTCTTTTTAGTCCTGTAAGAACTCTCTTCTGGCCAAAGAGATCCTCTCAGTCCTTCAGAAGCCCTGTGGCAGGAAGCAGGGCTCGGGACAGAGCCAGGGCCAGGCCTCCCTGGAGAGACTGCCGCTCCTGCTTTCTAGAAGCAGCCAGACTCGGGACTGGGTAGAGGTGGGGGGACTCATCAGCTCTCCTCATCACCCTCGGCCAGCTTCTGGCCCTCTGGTGACTTACTGTTCATGGCTTCCACTGGCTAAACTTGGGAGGATTTAGGGAGGGGGTCCCTGGGGAGCTGGGTTGGTAGCTTCAGTCTCTGTGGCTGTGATTGGGATGGGGAGGAGAAAGCTGGGCCTACCTTGGCCCTTCAGCTGTCTGTCTGGAAAGGAGGGAGGACAGGCTCCACCTTTGTTTTGTGGGGGAAAAGCCTGTGTAAGGGACAGTGTGTGACCTTCTCAAAGGCACTTTAGTCATGAATGGCCAAGCTGGTGAGGGACAAGCCTCTAACTGAGGAAGGTAGATACCTGGCCCAGCCAGTGACTGTTTTTTGACTTGAGACAACTTCCTCTCTCTCTGGGTCTCAGTTTCTCCATGGGGAAAAAATTCAAGGTTAGTCAACTAGCGTTTGGTGGGCGTGCCTGTATTTAAAAAAGCAATAGTGCTGGACTAAGTCTGCTGCTTGGAGGCTCCTGAAAAGTGGTTGGATTCTGGAAGGTTTCTTGCCTCTTGATGAGGGTCATGTGTGGAACCTTTGTATGGTTTTTGGTTTTTTTCATCCACAAGCGGCGTCAGCTGATTGGCTTGCCAGATTTAGCTAGCAATGAGTTGTGGGCTGGGGGATGGCTACCAGCATTTGGTGGGTGTGCCTGTATTTGAAAAAAAGTGGCAGTTTACTAGTGTTAGTTGATTTTAGGATGAACATTCTTTTAAGTGGTACAGCAGTGTTCTATTTGCTGTACTGAAGTAACTTGGAGTTGCGTGATGCTGAGCACTGTGTCAGAGGTGTGTCAAACGCCATAATGATTACCCGCCGTGGCCATGTTTGGTGGAGCTCTCAGATTGATTCAGGTTTGGAAGCAGGAGTGGCATCCGCTTCCTAAACCACATGCCTCTGGAAACTCTATGAACACAAACAATGATAGTTATAGAACAGGGTTCAGGTCTTTTGTTCATAGCGTCACTGTGAGTCGTACTCATCAACCTGACGGCACTTAACAGCAACAGACAACATGTAAAATGAAATCAGTTTTGTTGTGGCATGCCATCATGTTGAAACCGAATCATAGCTGACCCTCCAGTGTGTTTTTAGAGGCTGTAAATCACACGAGCGGAGACTGCCCATCTTTCTCCCGTGAAGCAGCTGGTCTTTGGTTTGCAGTACATTCCCTTATATACTGGGTAACAGTGTTGTTAGGAACCACGCAGTCTACCACCACACCCAGCAACCCCGTGGACAGCAGCCCTGAACCCTGCCCTGTGCTACCTCCCCACCGCCCTTGCTATACTTGAGCCCATTGCTCCAGACACCGTGTCCTTCCATCTTATTGAAGGTCTTTCTTTCACTGACACTGCACCTTTCCAAGCATGATATCCTTTTCCAAAGACTTACCACTTCTGACTACATGCTCAAAGTATGTGAGACGGAGTTTCACCATCCTTCCTTCCAAGGAGCACCCTGGCTGCACCTTCTCCAAGATGTATTTGTTGATTTCTCCCTGATATGCAAACCACTAGGAAATGACAGTCTAGCTGAAATGGGGCCTGAGGGGAAGAAGAAAAGAACCGAAAGGAAGGGAGGACAGTGATACCACCATTGCTTGACATTGAGTTTAAGTGACTTTTTCTGAAGGTGTATCCTTTTTTTCACTTCCCAGTGATAAACTGTCTTTACTTGAAGAAAGGAGAGTGATCGTTGATGATAGTTGTGTGTTTTATATTTGATGAAGCTGAAGGTTGACAATGAGATGTCTGATGTGGACATTTTGCTGGTTCTGAGGTCAGTCTGGAGATGGTGTGTCCTCAAACCCCGCAATCTTCATAGGCCTTCGCTCTCCGTTGCCTTCTCAGGTCCCGCGCAGCCTCTCCCGGGCAGGCCAATGGGGAGAGCTCCTTGGAACTGTTGGCTACTCGCTTCCAGGTAAGGTGTCTTGTCTTGCCAGCCAGGAGCCCCACTCCCCTGAAGTGAGGGTGAGGCCTGAGGGGCAGGGCCTGTTGAGGGTGGAGCTGCCCAGCTCCCAAGCCTCTCTTTTTACAGGGCTCTGTGAGGACGCACAGTGACAGCCAGTCCTCCCTGCGGTCCTCCTACTCCAGCCCCACCTCCCTCAACTCCAGGCCGTGCAGCCCCTTCTCCATCCCGCCCTCCACCAGCCCAAATGCCCTGGCTGGAGAGGCCATGCTCAGTCGCAGGTGAGCACAGGGCAGGGACTGTCTCAAAAGTCTCAGTGGTCATAAGGGATCTAAGCGCATCCTCTCTTCCCTGGGACGGGCTGCGTGGGCCCCTGGCACACACAATGTCCATTGCCTCATTTCAGTTTCCAAAGTCCAGAACTCTCTCCGGGACTCGCTGCTGACCACTCATTCTATGGTGGCCGCCCCAGAAGTCAACAGGTAAGCAAGATCTGAGGGAAGGAGAGAGTCAGAGAGAGTAAGGGCCTCCTTTCCCCTTCCCACATCTAGGGGTGCCCTCCAGGGGCTTCAGGCAGGTGGTTGGTCCCACCTGGCCCCCTGGGGAGCCACCACCTCATCTCCTAGCAACAAGGCTCTCTTCTCCCTAGTCAGGGGGACCATGGTTTCTGGTGCAGGTCATGCCCTGCCATCCCAGGTGGCCACCACGGCTGCACTCTGCTGCCCCCCACCCCCACCCCCTGCCTGCTGACTTCCTCCCTTCTCCGTGTGTTTCTCTTGGGCTGGGGCTGAAATAGTTTTGCTGCTGTTGTTGGGATGATTCCCTTTTGGCTCTGACTGCATCTCTTGAACACATTCCTCCCTCTTGCAGGCCCCATGCCCGCCCCCAGCTCCCAAAACCCCATCCCCCTGCTTCCTTCTTGCGCGGCCCAGCCCCGCGGCACCAGCTCTGGACTGTGGGTCTGCCTCAAGTGACACTTTGCTTATTCTCTGCTGTCTTCTCCCTGAAAACACCCCTCCCATCCCACTGTCCACTAGTGATGGTCTGACCCCCATTGGGGGTATCTCTTCTCTTCAGGGTCAGGCATGGGGCCTGGTGAGGGAGTGAGGCAGCCGACAGTGCTGGGCCACAGCTGCTGAGGGCAGAGGAGGTGTCCAGCCAGCCACTGGGTGAAGGGGATAAGGCCCAGCTGTTGGAATGCTACCTTGGGGTTGACTGCATTCCAGAGAGCGAGCCTGGGGGGGGGGGGTGTGTGCTGGAAACTGAGGCCCATGACAAGCAAGGAAGGGATTCTCTAGGGGATGCCCAACAGGAGCTTCCTATGACCTTCTGTATGCCCAGATGCTGTGGGTCCCAGAGCCTATTTCAAATGGCATCCTCTTTCTTAAAAGAGCTGCAAGTGTGGTTGTGGAGATAAGACAAACATGCAAAACAATTTTGGAACAGCTAAGCACTAAACAGTGTGGTATTAATTATAAAAGCAGGAGGCGTTCTGGGAGGGGAGGGCGACGTGTGGGCTGGGGTGGCCTGGAAAAGCTGTGTGGGGAATTTTGCTGGACATTAAAGGTAGGACAGGGTAGGACTTAAGTAAGAGTGATGAGAGGAGGATGGACGTTCTGGGAGATGGGGACGTAGTGGTACAAACCAGACCTGGAAAGTTTGGGTGCTGGGTGGGGTTGTGGGAGATGTTGCCAGAGGGTTCTGACTGAGACCAGCAGGAACGGCTGGGGAAAGGCCTGCGTGCTGGCCGCCTCCTGCCAACGTTCCTAGGAGGAGAGTCTTAATGGACCAAGTGCTCAAGGGAAGCCTTCCTGGGCCCCTTCCTTGTCATGCCCCCATGACCAGCAAAGGAGAGATGGAACATAGTGTACAGAAATGGTTCTCTAACCAGCAGCATCGCCTGAAACTCACTCTTGTTAGGTGCCCTCAAGTCAACTCAAACTCGCCGTGATGCTGCCTGTATTCCACAGAACAATCTTGCTCCCTCCTCAGTGTCTGTGGTACTATTGTTGTAGTTACTGCATCAGTCTGTCTCTTTGAAGGTCTTCTTTATGGACCCTCTCCTTTTCCAAGCATGATGTCTTTCTCCAGCCACTGCTCCCTCCTGACAATAAGCCCAAAGTATGTGAGATTAAATCTCACTATCATTGCCTCTAGGGGCACTTTGGCTTCACTTTTTCCAAGACAAATTTTTTAGTTCTTGTGACAGTTCATGGTTTATTCAATATTTTTTGCCAATGCCACAACCGAATAAAGAAGACTCATTCACTGTTCAACTTTCACATGTATATAAAGTAGTAAAAAAAAAATACCATGGCTTGTGGCAGGTGCACCTTAGTCTTTAAAGTGACATCCTGGCTCTTTAGCACTTTAAAGAGGTCCAGATTTTCCAATTGCAATCCATCTTTTGATTTCCTGACTGCTGCTTCCATAGGTGTTGATGGTAGAGCTGAGAAAAATGGAGCCATTGACAACTTCTATCTTTTCTCCATTTATCAGGATGTTGTCTGTGGGTCCAGTGGTGAGGATTCTGCTTTCTTGATACTTATATGTAATCTATACTGAGAATGCTGTGTAGTCTTTGATCTTCTTCACTAAGTGCAAAATTTGTAGGGCTCCAATCTCTCTGGCCTTACCATAGTGCTATGGTATCAAAACTCTGGGTATCAGCACTCTATTGTAACAGATTGTTGAGGCTGGTGTGCCTCCTGGTGAGGCTGAGGTTTGGCACCACTGGTGGCATGGTGGCAAGGAGCCGTACTGCCAACCCAAAGGCATGCAGTTCAGGTTTATCAGATGCATTGGGAAAGAACAATGGAAATTTTCCTCCAGTGCAATTTACAACCCCTGAAAACCCACTGGCAGGTCAACTAGGAGTCTGTTCCAACTCAGTGGTACTCAACAACAATGCAGTGTAAGGCGCGTGGCATCTGGGGCCTGGGGTGGCGAGACCTGGGTACCCCCGCTCTGCCCCCTTGGATGAACTCTGCCCCCTTGGATGAACTGCTTTTCCTCTCTGGGCCTCAGCGTTGGGCCTCGTGCTCTGTGTTCCCTTCCTTGACCGCAGGAGTCCTGGTTATTTCCTCATTCCTTCAGCAAGTGCTTAGTGAGCATCAGTTATGTGCCAGGCAGTTCTCTTGGTTCTGGAAATGCTTGTGTGGAAAAATCAGACACATTGATTGCTAACTCGTGGAGTTTACATTCAGGCCTGCAAATGGGGCTGTGGTCACGTGGATGTGCAAGTCCAGGACCTTTTGAGACGTGCTCTGTATTTTATCATTTTAAAGGCTTAAGAGACCCATGGGAAAGAAACCTACTTAAGTCTGTCAATTTCCCAAAGTCATTTGGCGACAGAGCTCCTGACCTCCTGCCCCAAGCTCACTTATTGGCCTCCTAAGGAAGGTGTGTTCTCTAGAACACCATTTGAGAAGTGTTGGCTACAGACAATTCTTGAAGTTAAAAGAGGAGAGAGCAGCTCTTCTGAATTTAGAAAGGAACAGTCCCTCCTGGAGGGAAGCTTCTCTGAGCAAGAGCCGTGAGTTCCTTTTCCAGCAGGGCAGACCTGGTGCGGCAGGGCACCTGTGAAGACAGATGTGGACGGAAGGGCGGAGGAGATGGATGAGGTGGGGGTGTGCACCGGCGTTACCGGACAGTTGTTTAAACAACTGGTGGGCCCTAGCCCAGAGTCTGTGATTCTGTAGGGCTGTGGCGCTCTGGTGGCCTGGTACACAGGAAGCTGTGCTTGCTGACCTATAGTCACAGCCTCTCTGGAGGTTCAAGCCCACCAGCGGCTCCTCAGGTGAGAGATGGACAATCTCCTATCGTGCGATTTACAGCCCCATGACAATCCCCTGGCGGGCCAGCTCTGACTTGGTTCCGACTTGCTGGCAATGAGTTTTGTGTGGTGGTCTTGTCCTTCCTGAGGGCTGTTGAGGGCCAAGCCCATAGGGGACACCCCAGCCCATGTGGTGGTTTTCTGGGAATAGAAACTGCTCTTCCAGGAAGGCACACCCCTCGATGAGCAGACGCAAAGGGTTTGTGTTTTGTAAGCATTCTTTCACTGAATGGGCATGCGGACTGGCTTGCTGCAATGAACCTTTCAGTACGTGTTAGAGGGCACATCGTGCCTCGAACAGCCACATGTGACAAATCTCAAGGACGTGGTGCTGGCCTTGCCTCTTAAGAAACTAGTTCACAATTTGTTAGTTGACCGCACAGGCCCTTTCCAGGACTTGGAATCCTAGCTCTGCCTGCACTCTCCCCTGACCCCCCATCTCCTTAGCTTGCACCTCTTCACCATCTCACCCCACGAGCCAGGGCATGTGAGTAGATGGAAGGAGGGCCGCGGGGTGAGGGTCCAGGCCGGCTTTCTTAAGACTCTTTGAAGTTTCCTCTTTTAGCTGCAGAATCATGCAATTTTTTTCATTCTACCCCATAATTCACCCATGACTTTGCATTTTAAAATCATGTTTTAAAATTACTGGGCATTGAGGGATGTTGTTGGCTTCTCAGGCAGCTTGGTTTGGCATGTGGGAGCGGATGGCTCCAGGCCTCTTCCTTCCACTGGCCAGTGAGAGTCCCTCAAGCTGTGTCCTATTGGGGAAGACGCCTGAGAAGTGAGCAGAGAAGGGGTGCAGAACCAAAACAGACCTCCAGGAGCAAGATTGAGGGTGAAGGTGCCATAAGAAAAAAAAAAGGAATAGAGTTTCTTATTTTAGAGCAGGTTTATGTGTGTAGTAAAGTCATGCAGAAAGTACAAGGCTCCCACATGCCCTTTCTTGCCTTTGTACATTCCCCCCTATCATTAATAGCTTGTGTAGAATGTGCCTTACAATTCATGGGCCAAGCCCGAAACACTGTGATTAACTAAAGTCTGCAGTCAATTCTGTGGTTCACACTTCGTGTTGTAAGATTAGGTAGATTTTGGCAAATGCCTGATGCCATGCATGTGTCTATTCCAGTATCATAAGGAATAGTTTTGCTGTTCTTAACTCGTCCTATATTCCACCTATTTATCTTGCCCCCCTCAAGTCCTTGGTAACCACCAATCTTTTTACTCTCTCTACCGGGAGCTCTGATGACCTAGTGGGTAAGGAATTCACTGCCAACCTGGAGACTCACAATTGGAATTCACCAGCTGCTCCAGGGAAGCAAGGCGGGCAATCTCCTCTCATGCAATTTACAGCCTCTGAAAAGTTGCTGGAGAGTCAGCTATGAGTTGGTTCCAATGACACATAACAACAATAGCAACAACAGTTTGTGCAAGGCAAGATTTCCATGCAGAGAGCAAATGTAACAGCCCAGGTGGACAGGGTATACCTAAGGAGATCACATTCCCATATAGGATGTGGGCCCCAACACATATTTGGCTCCCCAACAACTCTGAGGGCATGACTAGACCTCAAGGGCAGCCAGGAGAGGCACTCAGCTCAGACCTTGGCCATCATAGGAGAGAGAGCAGCATGCATAGAGGCGAGTCCTCTGAGCAACACAAGCCCTGGCTTCATGGGCATTTTGGCCCCTTGATTTCACTCCTTTCTGTTTCTTCACTGCAAAGGGCTTTCCTCTGTCAGATTGGAGCCAGACCCTCCAACATCTTTGAAATCGTAGCTTTAAAAGAAAATTGTTATTGTGTAGATCTCAGGTCTGAGTTTCCTGTGGGTGAACTTGAACTTCTTACCTTTCCGTTAAGGATTAAGCACCCACAGAGACTCCAGAACTTAGCAGTACTATGTGTGGTTTCGTATTTAGCTCATTACTAAGTGGTCTTCGTTCTGCCCTTCCTGGTCCCCTCCTTGAACCCACATATCTCCACGGCTTGGACAAATTCCTTCCTCCAAGCTGGCCTCCTTCCCTGGCTTCTTGCCTCCTTTCCCTTCTGAAACTAAACATTGGTGCCCTGGCTCTGAGGGCAGGTCCAGAGCGGTGACCACCAGTAGCGAGGGTGTGCAGCCCTCTAGTGTTGGGTCTGGGGAACCGCGGGGCTTGGCCGCCCTGACCGCTGGCGTGTTGGCCGAAGTCTCCAGCCATTGACTCCTCCCCTGGCTGCTTCTCCTCCCCACAGGCCGGCCTCAGCGGCGCTGGCGACTCTGCTGTGCTGGTGCTGCCGCCACCTTCTCTGAAGGTCCGCTCCTCCAGCCCCAGGCTCAGGTAGCAGGAGGCCTTGAGGGTGTGGGAGGGTAGGAGGGACACTGGCTTCCTGGGGGGGATGGAGGCCCCCCTCTAGGACCCCTGGGCACACTCTCCTCCTTACCCTTCCTTGCTCTAACACCCCATGATGAGCCCCTCATCCCCGCCTGCCTCACATCCCCACAGTGTGGACTCAGAAGGGGGAGGCCATCACCACCTAGATGAGGACTCGGAAGTCTACAAGATGATGCAGGAAAATCGTGAGGGGCGGGTGGCCCCCCGACAGTCCAGCTCCTTTCGGCTCTTGCAGGAAGCCCTGGAAGCTGAAGAGAGAGGTGAGGGGGCCCAGGGGCTCTGGTAGGGGACAGTGTCCCAGGACAACAGGGGTCCTGACTGGACATTTTCTTGAATGAGTCTCTCCTAAGCGCCTGTCTAATCCTCAGCACAGAACTAGAAGCAGAGTAGGCACAGACATGGAGGAGACACAGTCTTTGCCTTTAAGGAGCCTACAATAGGCTATAGTAGGAGTCGCTGAGAAAGTGAGGGGAGCTGTCTGGGGTCAGGAAAGGGTAGGGGGATGTGAAGGGGGTCCAAAGGGCTGGGTGTGCAGGCAGGGCTTCTGGGAGGAAGAGGGATAATGAACTGACCTTTGAAGAAAGATTGACATTTCAACAAGTGGCCTTAAAATGGTGGTAGGGAAGGCCTTGGAATGTGGAGGCCGCTAGCAAGAAGGCTCTGAGTGTGGGCGAGGAGAGTAAACGGTGTGGCCTGGCAGTGTGTGCAGGACTGCAGGCTCTGCCCCCGTGGAGGGCCTAGTGTGTTAGGCTAGGGAACCCTGTACCGGGGAGAGTCAGGCAAACAACCCCGCCAGGCAGTGCGTGAGATGCCAAATGAGCAACACTGATGCCATGGGCTGTGGCCAGCTCTGCCTCCATGCACAAGCACTTGGTGTGCTCTTCCTGTGGCCAGGATGTGTGGAGCAGGGCAGAGCAGGGCCCTGATGCTGTGTCTGCCAGCTAGCAGCAACAGGGATGCTGCTGCAGGGGCTTCGCTGCATGTCGGGTGTTGCCATTTGCTCTGACAGCTGTGGGAGTGTGGCTGCCCTAGCCCAGGAGAGCGGTAAGGAGCACCCGGCCTGGGCAGTGGGTCAGGGATGGAGAAGAAGGGCTAGGACAGGGGCAGCATTTGACAGGGAGAATGCACAGTATTGGTGGTTGGTTCCAGCTGTGCAATTTGGAGTTCAGATGTTGGAGGCACTTAGAAAGGCAGGGATGGGAGCAAACCCTGTCCATCACAACCTGTGGCCTCTGCAGGCTCTGGGAGAAGGCCAGGGACAGGGAGGAGGTAGTGCCAGGAGAGGGAGGGCAGCAAACAGGAAGACCTTGTGACCTCACCGTGGGAGCCAGCTCGTCTGAGAGAGCAGAAAAAAGGGACAATGCCCAATAAAAAATCTGGGCTTCCTCTTTGCTTTGTTCCACGATTCATGTGCAATAATGCCTATGAAAGCCCTTTGAAAACCGTACAAAGTGACTGCGGTGCTGTTATTATGTATTATTACTATCTATTAATATCATCATTACAGCCACACAGGCGAGGAAAAGCCTGCTCTGCCTGACGTGTGGGTCAGGAGTGCTGACCCTCTCAGGTTTGTCTTAGCTGAGCAAGCTTGGCCTGTGTGCAGTGGGGCCTCCTGAGGGTTTCTGGCATGACTGTTTCCCCTCCTGCCTAGTGTCACCTCCTGGGGCCCCTTTAGGAAGGAGGGGAGGACACACAGATACTGCCTAGGTGGTGCTGCTGGTTGATGAGTCCTTGTGTGTCTGCCCTCACCCCACCTCCCAGGTGGCAGCCCAGCCTTCCTGCCCAGCCCACTGAGTCCCCAGGACTCCCTGTCCACTGGCAGGGTGCTCACCACACCCCCGAAGCTCCACACGTGTGAGAAGTGCAGCACCAGTATCGGGTGAGTGTCAGGTGGCAGCGAGGGGGAGAGGGACACCTCACATCTCCAGAAGAACACTCAGCCAGGGACTCCCCACAATGGCATGAGGAACCTAGGGGGGACCTCCTGCCTCAGTGATTTTTGTGGTAAATGGGCTCTAGTGTTGAGAGATGATGAGGGTGGCAGAGATGGCTATGAGTTGTGCTCGACTCAGTGGTACAAAACAATAACAAGAACAACGCAACACCCAATCTACTTCAAAAACAAAAAACAAGAAAACAACCCACCACTGAAAGCGCTGGAGCCCAGTTCTGCTCTGACACACAGGAGTCTCTGTGAGTCAGACTCAGCTCAACAATTGCTTTTAATTGTTCTTGGTTTTCATTTTAAAGAAGGCTGCAGTATCTTCTCTCTCCTCTGCCTTCTTGCTCGCTTCTCCTTCCCCATTCTTTTTCCGTCTTTGGAGAAGGAAAAAACACTCCTGCATTTGACTCCTGTTCCACTGTCTCAAAGCATCTAGAGACTTGCCTTTAGATGAGGCAGCTCTTTCTGGAAGCATCTTGATCGTCCCCACACCCTGCCCCCTTGGAACAGCTGAAGTTTCCAGAGGTGGGCGGTTTACCTCAGTGGGTGTCTAATACAGCATGTTCTCAGGGGGATTGTGCAAAGGCCCCCAGGTGAGATTCTTCAGCGCCCAGGGTGAGGGTCAGCTGACTCACTGCAGGCAAATCCCTTCTGGGCTTCCATTTTCTTACCTGCAGAATGAGATGCAATAGAATCCCCCTGCAGTGCAGAGATAAGGACACTGTTGAAAAGAATGCATTTTAAATATACCAGTTCTCAAAGGAGCCTGCAGCCTGTCATCTGCAGGGTTCATGGAAACACAGATTGCTGGGTCCTACCTTGGGATTTCTGATCCAGAAGGCCAGCAGGGCACAAGAATTGGCATTTCTAACTTGTTCCCAGCTGATATCCACCTATGATACTGGTTGTGGGCCCACAGTTTGACCTGCTTCTCCATAAACCAATGGATAAACCAATCCACAGTCTTCTTGATTCTTATCAGCCTTTGTGGGGGAGGAATGCTTCATTTCTTTTGATTAGGCAACATAGTGGTAGTGGGTGGAGGGTGGTGGTGGGGAGGTGGGGACTATGAGTGGTAGGGTGTGTGGTGAGGAGTGAGGGGGGCTGTGAGGTGAGGGGGGTGTTTTGGGGGTGAGAGGGGCCTCTGGGGCTGTGGGGTGATGGGCTGTGTGGCAGGGAGTGAGGGGGGATGTGTGGTGGGAGTGTGTGGGGTGAGAGTGTGTGGTGGGGAGTGAGGGGGCTTTGTGGTGGGGATGAGGTGGGGGATTAGTGGTGGGGTGTGGAGTGCGGGGGGGGATGTGTAGTGTGGGGTGGAGTGAGGGTGTGTGGTGGGGAGTGAGGGAGAATGTGTGGTGGAGGTGTGGGGTGAAGGGGCATGTGGTGGAGATTGGGGGAATATGTGAGTGTGGGGGTGTGGAGTGGGGAGTGAGGGGGCTGTGTGGGAGTGGGGGTGTGGGGTGAGGGTGTGTGGTGGGGAGTGTGGGGGGGTTGAAGGGAGAAGCCTGGAGCTTTTGGTTCCTCCCAGGCCCTGACTTTGGGTTTGGGGCCTGACCTTGGGCACATGCCCGGGTCTGAGGCTAAGGGCTCTCCCTCCCATGCAGGAACCAGGCTGTTCGGATCCATGAAGGCCGGTACCGACACCCTGGCTGCTACACCTGTGCAGACTGCGGGCTGAACCTGAAGATGCGCGGGCACTTTTGGGTGAACGATGAGCTGTACTGTGAGAAGCACGCTCGGCAGCGCTACACCCTGTCCTCCACCCTCAGCTCCCAGGCCTGAGGGCCTCCGACTGACTAAGAGACCTGGGTGCCTTGGGACCAGGGGCCATGCAATAGCAAGGTGGCATGGAAGAGGGGCTGGTGGGTGATGGCTCTTACATGAACTGAATTTGGGGGCAAGGCCCCTTCATCCTCACTGGGTGAGGCTGAGGCCTGTCTCGGGCTGTGGGTGCTGAAGGCAGCCTTACCTCCTCAGGCCTTTCCTCGATATTTCAGGTTTTGTCCTGCCGCACACACTGCTCTTGTAGCCTGACCAGCAGTGTACTTGGTATCTGAACAGGTGACCAGCAGGGTGGGACGAGGCCCAAGTATCTCAAAGGAGAAGAGGGGGCTTGAGGCTAAAGGTCTTCACTGTGTAAAGTTTTCAAAATATGAATATATAGAAATGAAAGAAATAAAGTTGATGCTATCCTCTCCCCTCTATGTCCCTCCTGCCCCCAGGCATGAGCTGCTCTCTGCTGAAGAGCAAAGAATCTTTATTTGCTTGTCCTTTTCTTACTCCTTTCCCCCTTCCGCAGCATTCCCATCCTAGTTGGAACCTTACGGAGCTCTGGTGGGCTAGTAATAATCTGCGCTGCAGTCCAAAAGATACGAAGTTCAAATCTACCAACTGCTCTACCGGAGAAGGATGGGTAGTTTCCTCCTGGGCGATTTGCTGCTCTGAAAATCTGCTGGAGGGTCACCTATGGTTCCAACTCGATGACACACAACAAAAACAACAATTCGGAACCTTAGTCCCTGACCTTCTCCCAGTGCAGAGGCCTACTCCTTGGAGGGTGAGGATTGTGCTTCCCTTTTATAAAGTTGTCTGCTTTCCTAGGATGATGATCCTCATGCTTTAGAAGGAATGAGTTTCTCCTGAGACTCTGGACACCTCAGGGAAAGGGATGCTGGGGCGGGAGATGCAGCCTCAAACCTGGTGTTGCTTGCTCTGTGCCCTGACTTGTTGGGAACACTGCCAACCCTTCTGACTTAGATGTGCTGGGGGTCAGTAAGGTGGGCCTGCAGGCATGTCCAGAAAGACAAAACCTATGGTGCCTCCTGCACATGCCCAAATCTGTGCGCTCTTTCTCTTTCTTCTCTCTCTCATTGTCCTTTGTGGGAACCGATTCAGCTGACCTTTCCCTGGGCCTCCTAGGTTGTACATGGCGGCAGAGTCTGTAATGACAGTAAATTTTCATCTTCTCCCTTGGAGCCAATGGGTAGTTTCAAACCACAAGGCATGGTCCTTGGGTTGGCCTCACAACTCCCTATGGGTCAGGCCACCAGAGCGAGGAAAAATAATCACCCGGAATAACCCTGGGCAGGCCTTGGCCAGGAAGGGAAGACCAGGGTCTGAGACAGCCCCAGGGACTCAGGAGTGTGCCCACCTCCCACCCCTGTCCTGGGAGACACTTGTTTGGCGTCATCAAGCCAACGTCTCACAGGTGCTCTTGCCTTTTATCTGAAGCTTGCCTCATCCTGTGCCATCCTTTCATTCCTACCTGTGTCCTGGGGATGCTTCAGCAGGAGAGGGAAGGAGAAGGGTTGCCTGCCAGGCTCAGGAGTTTCTGATTAACCCACCACCCGAGGAGGAGCCCTGGTGGCCTAGCGAGTAAGGAGTAGTGCTGGCTCCGAGGGAGAAAGACGGCAGTCCCCTCCCGTGGTGCAGTTTACAGCCTCTGAAAACCCGATGGAGGGTCCGGTATGAGCCGATGGCGGGTAGCGACAGTGTAGTCCTCATCCCAGGGCACGTTTCGGAAGGGCCGGTGGGTACTGCAGGCTCCGGAGCCTCTCAGGCCAGGCGGTGGGCGGAGCCACAGCTTTGTTTTCACCGAGATCAAAGCCGCACAGGAAGGTGCCTGTGGCTGATCTCTGACGGCAGCAGTTTACTATCTGGCTCTTTTCAGAAGGAATCTTGGCGGAGACTTTGCTTGTGTTGCCTCCTCAGGCACCTGTTGATATAATTTACACCTTGATATAATTGTCTCACCTTTTGCCTGGATGGCTGCCTGAAAAGAGGCCTTTATTTTTATAGAAAAGATCAAGGCTGTCTCTCCGTGGCCCAGGCAGCAGCCGTCTGCTCAGGATGGGTCGACCCTCCCTGGCGCCATCTAGTGTTGAGTGGAGCGCATGGCGGGGAAGAGAGCTCACCAGGGGGGAATTCATGCAGGCAACGCACACACTTGCGCTCTGTTGTCCAGTCAACTTCAACTTATAGCGACCCCATAAACAACGAATCTGAACCGTGTCCTACCCTGTGCCAGTCCGCAGTGTACCTGCTTCGCTGGAGAGTGTAGGCAAGTGGACTGTGATCAAGCTGGCATGCATGAACTAATGTGTAGCAGTGAGTGCTGGGAACTAGAGTGAAACACACAGAACACCCCAGGAATTCAGTTCAGGGGCCCCTGTGTGGGAGGACTGGGCTAGAACAGGTGGAGAATGTGGGTCAGTGGTCATGAGCATCAGGGAGGGAACAAGTCGCATGTTTAGTGTCAGAGCTGAGGGGATCTTGATGTGAAGTTGGAAAGGGAGATGGAACCAAATTGTAGTGCAACCTCGAAGGCCAAAAAAGTGGTGCACTCTTCAGCTTGAGATCCTGGGAAGACTGAACATTTCAGAGCAGAGCAGTGGCTGGTTGAAAGGATGGTTTGGGTGATTAATATGACCAGATAGATGTCTGCGTATAGCAAACCACGGGTCTGGCTGCAATGCAGGAAGAGGAAGTCAGGGAGCAGGTAGGAGTGGGGGCACTTGTTCAGTGAGCATGCCAGTGAGTTCTGAACACCTTTCAAGGGCAGAATGGCTTCTGAGTGGCGTCGAGGAGGGCCCTCTTCTTTAGTTATGGTGGCTCCATCTGTTCTCATCTCACCCACCCCTCTGACCGCAGACACGGGGTGGGGAGGGTGGGAAAGACTGCCCATCTTGGCAGACCTGAGCTTAGGCGTGAAATTCATTGGAAGATAAGAGTTATTAGTAGCGATGTCAGCAGAAGTTTGAAGTAATTTTTTCTTTTATCCCTGCCCTCAATTGTATGTCAAGTCAGCTGTCAACACCCAGCACCCACCCTGCTGACCCCACACATACATATGTGGGACAAGTGACAGTCCTTTTGTGCTGTGGCAATGTGTCTGGCCCAGTGTTCACTTTCTGTACTTGTGGGGAATAAGAGATGATGACAGATTGGTTAGAAGTGGCTAGAGAGGGCATCTCATCGAAGTCCCTTACATTGTTTTAGTAGTGGATTACTAACCAGAGGATTAATGGTGTGAACCCACACTGAGGTGTCTTGGAAGGAAACCTGAAAATCTACTGAAAACCTTGTGGAGTCCTACTCTGACTGACACACTGGTTGGCATGAATTGGATTCCCTTGACAGCAACTAATTCACTTTCCATTTCGAGATGGGACAGAGACTTCCCCAAAGTTATGGAGCTGGATAACAATGGTGGCTTGTATTTTAGAGCACTTTTGAAATGCCAGGGTCATTTGAGGCATTTTAATTCATTTAAGCCTCACAACTCTGAGGTAAATATTGTTCCCATTCTTGCTTTAAAGATGAAGTAACTAAGGTACAGAAATGTGGTGTTAACTCGTCCAAGGGTACCTAAGCTAGTATGAAGAAAAACTGGGAACTGAATCCAGGAGCCTGCCTCTGGTGGGTCAAGTAGGTGCACTAGCCCCTCTGTCCACTTCTGGAAACAGTGCTGGCTACAGCAGGTGGTCCTGTGGCCCCACCCAGCTTGGCAAGAGCTGCTTATGGGGTCTCAGCTTTGCCCTTCCTCCCAAAGGGCTTGCTTGGCGCCGGCCTCGCAGGAAATGCACTTCCTGGAGCTGGGACTTCCCCCACGGAAGCTGTAAAGCAGCTGGGCATCCCTGGCCTGGGCCTTCGATGTGACTCAGCCAGGCCACTGGGTCCCACGAATCCCAAGTGGTTGCTCCTCACCACATGGGCAGGGAGGGCGTGGCTGGGCTGCCCCTCCTTTCCTGCAAGCTTGGCTCAAAAGGAAATGATTCCTATCTCTGGGTGGCACACACGGTTCAGTGCTCCGCTACAGACCACAAGTCTGGCGGCTTGAATTCACCCAGAGGTGAGTCAGAAGAAAAGTTTGGCAATCTGTTTTTTTAGAAAACCCAGCTAGTGAATAACTTACGGCACACAGTTCTACTCTGGCCACATGGGTCACGGTCAGTTGAAATCGACCAGCCAATTACTGGTTTTTAGGCTGGTAAAGGGGAGACTGCAGGTGCCATAGAGCCTTCTGGACAGTGCAGAGCTGCCTGTTTCGCAGCTGTCACACTGGAATCAACTCCCATCTGACCCTTTCTCACAGGCAGAGAGGGTATCTGGATTTGGCCCTCTTTACCCAGCCAAAAATATTAAGCCAGGTGGAAAACAAAAGAAAAAGAAAAATCCCCTAGTTTCATTATAAGTTTCAGGAAGCTCGGGTGGCCTAACAGTAAGAAGCTGCACTGCGATCCCAAAGGCACAAGGTTCAAATCTACCAGCTGCTCCAAAGGAGACTGAAGTGCAATCTCCTTCAGGGAGATTTGTTGTTATTGTTGTTGCGTACCATCAAGTCAGAACTGACTCATTGCCGACCCTCCAGCTGGTTTTCAGAGGCAGTTAATCACATGGGAGGAGATTACTTATCCTACAGTCAGTGAGATTTAGTCCCCCCTGAAACCAACTAGGGGGCCAGCTATGAGTCTGCTCCAATTTAGTGGCACTCAACCACTGTTATGCTCAATGAATTCAGGCATAAGCCCTGCCTTTGCTGGGGTGGGGGTGAGGGGCCCAGAGCCTCCTGGATAGTGAGGGGCTGCCTGCTTCACTGCTGCCAACTTGAAACTGACTCATAGTAAATTCAACAGGAAGAGGCTACCCATCTTTCTGAGGAACGGCTGGTGAGTTTGAACCACCACAGACACACACACAGAGCTTTTGGGTTATCAGCTCCACTCACTACAGACTCCTCTACCAGCGTAGCAGGCAGCTAACGGGAGGCAGGCGCTGAGGCTTCCCACATTGGCTCCCCATGCTGATGCACAGCCACTCTGGACTCGGCTCTGCTCACCCACCAGTGTGGGGGCCATGACCCAGAGGGGAGTGTGTGCAGAGTGGGGGTGGAGTACGGGTTCTTTTGAGCCACACACAAAGCCTTGTGCTGAGACACTGCATTCCTGCTGGCTGGGCTTCCTGTTTCCAGATGCATTCCTGCCCCAGAGTCACCACAGAGACTGCTTGGAATCTGGCCTCACATTCTCCAAATTCAGGGTGGATCTGGCTCCCTCTCTTTGCCTCCCACCCTTTCACTTTGGGTGAAGGAGGCCTCCTTTGCTTCCACCTGGAGAGGGCTGGGCTAAGGCCTGGCGTGGTTTGTGGATTGAGTGCAACATACTCTGTTGGATCATGAAGATAGTTCCTGCATTCTCCGGACAGGCCCAGCATTCTGTTTCCCATACTGTATCTGGAAAGAAAGGACAAGAAGTTCTGACCAGGAGCACAGGGAAGCGGGGGAGGGAGGACTGGCCATCAACCCAGCGAGGGGCCTGGGCCTGAAATTCAAGGTCTTAAGGATGTTCTGTAATGGACTAACTGGTTCTCATTCCACCTACAGAAGCCTTGGCTATGGGCCTCTGTTTCCCTAGCTTCCCTGTCAATTCAAATCTGATAGCTTGTGGCTCCTTGATGATACTTCTTGCATCCCTGGTACAAACGGCTAACTGAAAGGTTGGAGATTCAGAGTCCACCCAAGCAGACCTCAGAAGAAAGGTGCGGTAATTCATTTCTGAAAGCCGAGGACTGAAAACCCGGTGGAATATAACCCTCCTCTAAAATACAGGGGATGAAGGGAGCTGTGGAGGACTAATGGCAAGAAGCTACGCTGTAATCCCAAAGACAAGCGGTTCGAATCTCCCAGATACTCCGCTGAAGAAGGAGAGGCAATATCCTCCTGTGCCAGTCAGATCTGATTCGACTATGCACAACAAGAGCTGGCAAGAAGGGGTCTTTAACCTCCTAAACAACCCGCTCTGTCTTCTCTGAGGCTCAAGTGTGAGTTAGCACGTCCTCCAGCTGCTTCTCGGCCCCCTGCGGATTTGAGTTCTGCTGGGATAGGTCACTTGTGTGGTCAGGTCTGTAGGCGGTCTCTCCTTCCTGAGAGCCCCACTGGTCGCCGGTCTCGAGTTCGGGCTGGAAAGTAGGAACGGGCAGGCCCCACGTTCAGGTCCCTCTGGAAGAAGCGCCATTAGGGTATCCGTGAGGTGAAGGCCTGAGGCGTGTAAGGGGTTCAGCTCCAGCCCAAAACCTTCTTTTCTTTGGAGACTACAACCTCTCGCTCTGCAGTTGTGAAGAATTCCGCCCCTCTCCGCCAACTGACTCATTCCAAAAGCATATTTGGTGGAAATGACAGGAATCATCTCTTTACCCACAAGGTTGAGGAACTTGCCCCAAGTCATACAGCTGGGAGCGCTGGGTGGCCGTGCCCTGGTCAGCGCTCTTGCCACTTGGGCCAGCAAGTGGGGCTCCATTTCCTCCCAGGCTTCCCCCGTCCCCCTGCTCCGATCCATTTCAGCGGCAGGAAGACAACCCTGGCGTGTGAACTGGGGGGCGGGGAGACTTCACGCCTAGAGAGGGGCAGCGTCCACAGCCGGGACAGGCTCCTTGGTTGGGGAACCCGAGCGCAAGCGAGAGCGCGAAGGTACCCCGGTCAGGGGACCACAGATGGGTTATTATTTTCATTCCACTCAGGAAGCGGGTGACAGTCCACCCTTCCGAGGTCCCGGGCCCGCGCTCCCTCCCTGCCGGCGTTCACGGACCCGTCCCCCGGCCCGCAGCGCGCCCCCGCCTGGCCGCGCTCCTCCCCGCCCCCTCCCCCGCTCCCTCCAGGCCCTGCCCCTCGCCAGGCTGGGAGGGCCCGGGCCGCGCCCTGGAGGGTCGAGGCTGAGGAGCTAATCCGACGTCGGCGGGGAGACGCGGTCCGGAGGCGCGGGGTCCGGCTGCAGGGGCCGCGGCCCGGCCGCCTCGGGGCGGGGAGCCGGGCAATGCTGGGCCGGCGGCGCGTCTTCACGGTGGAGCCGCGCAGCAGCCCGGGTGAGTGGCGCGCGCCCCGGAGCCAGCCGGGGTCGGGTCTGGGCTTTAGGGTGCTGCGGGAGGGGTCGCAGCACTCGCCGACCTGCTAGTTTGCCCTCGTCCCCTGGGGACTCCCCTTTCCCAGAGCCAATTCCCGCGCCCTCTGTAGGGCGCGCACCTGGGAGGTTCCTTTCGGCCCTCCATGCCTCGGACGCGGGGAGGCGCCCTACCTCTCTCTATTTGAGAGGCCGAGAGATTAATTCTGGGACACCATGCACGTTGGAGACCCTCTCGTTATAGGCGTTAGGACACCATGCACGTTGGAGACCCTCTCGTTATAGGCGTTAACCAGCCACCACTGCCACCCCACTTCCTCCTTCTAACTCCCCATCTGGATCCTTCCCTGTGCCCCTTTGGAAGGCTAAGACCTCCTGTCCTCTCCTCCAGTCTGAAGCTCAGAAAGCCCAAGGGTGGCAGACCCCTTTCCAAAGAAAGCAGCCTCAAATCCCTGCAGGGGTGTTTCCTGACTGACTTCCTTGACCAGAAAAGCCCAGGTTTGAATCTCATCTCTCTCAGCTGACTCTATAGAAGGGCCCGACATGAGGATGACAATAAAAAGGCATTTCCCCTTCTAACTGCCATTCTTTCTTCTACTTAATTTTTTTTTCTAGGCCAAGTTTTGCCTTGATTTTTACGTCATTACATTCTTTTAAACTGTCCACAAAGTCTTCACTATTTCTCACTCCCAAGAATGAAAGCCCCCAAATAGTTGTTAAGTGTGGTAGATGAATCATAGCGACCCTATGAACAAAAGACCTGAACACTTGTATAACTTTGGTCGTTTCTCCATGTTCATAGAGTTTCCGGAGGCAAGCCATTTCGGAAGGGGATGCTACTCCTGCTTTCAAGCTTGTTTTAATTGGGAAGCTCCACCAAACACTGTCCACCATGGGTAACCATTATCATGTTTGACACATCAGTGTCACAGTGTTTAGCATTACAGCAACCATGAGGTACCTCTGTACAGCAGATGGACAGAACATCGCTATACCACTTAGAAGAATGACCAAAAACAATTAAAACCATCCTGAGGGTCGCAGATTAAAATCACCCACCTTTGGCTTGCTAGTATCAATTTCTGTCCACTAGGCCAACTGAGAGCTCTATGTTGTTGCTGTTGTTAAGTGCCATCGGGTAGTAGCTGTTATTTTTATCACCCTGCATCCTCCTTTCAAACATGTCCATTTCCTACCCTCAAGTTCGAGAAGAGACTGGATCTTGCATTGTGAAAAAGGCAGTTTGGGTCCTCAGCTCCCCGCCTCCCACTTTCTTTCCTCCCAGGGCCTGGGGCAGGGTCATCCATAGCCCCCTCTCACATGGTGAGCAGCAGAAGAGTCCACACTTCCCCGTTATGATTTAAAGTTTTAGCCTGATCCTCATTGGGGAGCATTAGGGCTCCTGGGAAGAAAGGGCTCACCTCCTTCAAAGGAAGTATGTCGGCTGAAGGAGCATTGCCTCCCAAACAATCCAAATGACTGGTTAGTTGTTAATGGTTGCTGTAGAGGGAATCTCATCTCCTTGGCAGAGTAAAGAGACACTTTGGCGGGGCTGTGACGAGCCAGGCTCCTCCCTTCACTGCATACCTGGGACACGCCCCCTGGGGGAATGCAGACAGCTGCTAGGAATGCTGCAGGTGTTGTGATTGGGGTGCCTAGCCTGATACCCACTCTCCTTGCAGATAGAGCTGGGGAGGATTTGGCATGCGGGTGTGTAGTGCCTGGAGTCACCAGCACCTACAGACGGATCCAGGACGCTGCTGATTGCTGCTCACCGGCGCCCTGGGATGGAGATGGCCCGCTGAGAGGTCCTGGGAGGCAGGTGCCACTTCTGAAGCTGGCCTCCCGGGACTCAGGAGTGGAGATGGCAGTTGAGGATAGCTCTCTGGCCATCTCACCAGGCATTTCTCAAGACTCTCTGGACTTTGAGCCTGTGGGAAGCCCTGAGCCCCCTCCCCTTGCCGCCATGGAGCCCCCAGCTCAGCGAGGCAGGCTCCTGGCCAGCCGTAAGCTGGAACAGGTGCTGGAGCGGTCCCGCAGGCTCCAGACCTCATCTGCCAGCTTGCCAAGGCGGTGCCGCCCAAGCAAGTCCGATTGTGAAGATGTGCCCTCCTTTGAAGCAGGGGGACAGGCCACAGAGGCAGAAACTGGCCTAGAGGTAGGTTTGGGTGGATGAAGCTGAGGTGGTGCATGCCATTCTTAGGCTAGGCGAGCAGACAGTCCTTTCAGGCCGGTGGGGACCCCCCACCCCACCTTGCTTATTATCTCTGGAGCTCTCTCGGGGTGGGGCATTCCTCCCTGTAATTGAGCTTCTTGCCTCACCCCACTCCCAGCTGTGAGTAGCTGCCTCTACAGAGGAGGGGGTAGGTTTGGGCTGGCATCCGGCCTGGTCCAGCACTGGGGAAGCCGGTGAGACATATGTGTTCCCCCTTTGCCTGCCCACTCTGCCCCCATCTGTGCGATAAGCAGGCTGGTTGCTGAGTGTGGGGGGGTGTGGTCTGGAGGAATTTGGGGGCCTTCCTTACCTCATTGTGGTTCATAGGTGAGGGCCTTGGAGCCTGAAGTCTGGACCAGCCTCCCAGGGCAGGGTCTTCGCTACCTGGAACACTTGTGCCTCGTACTGGAACAGATGGTGAGGCTCCAGCAGCTCTATCTACAGGTGCAGACCCAGAGGCCCGCCTGGGTGAGTGAGCCACAGGACAAAAGGCAGAAGAGGGGTGTGACCCCTGGCCAACTGGTTCCCTCTGAATAGCCTCAACCTTCTAGTTATTCTGACTGCCCCATCCTTCTTGTGTGCAGGACCCTGAGGAGAGGGAGGAGTCCGCCCTGGCTCCTTCACCTTTACCCTCACATGCTGCAGGCCATGAGATACAGGTGCCATGGGACCCGCAAGGCCAGACACAGGACGCAGGTGAGGGGTGGCTGTATGTCTCTTCAAGGATCCCCCCAGCATACCTTCCTGGTAAGGTCCATTCATGGTCTGAGCCTTGGGCTACTTGATTCTCTTTCTGAAGGGGTGAAAGCAGCTTCATCCCCTAAAATGGAGGTGCCCAGTGTCAACCCCCCCAGACTACAAGAGGCCCTGGCAGAGGCAACTCACACCTCTCCATCATCCCAGGGACACAAGGTAGGTGATACATGTGTGGAGGGCAGAGGCAGGTTGGGGGGGGGGGAATAGGGATGGGAATGTGTGGACACCCTAAGTCCAGAAACTTTGGGAAGCTGGTGGCACTCCTCTCTGGAGCAGGTGGCTTGTCCTGTGGGGAGAGCTGTTTCTAGGAGCTCAGTGGAGGGTTTGCATGTGGGTGAGGGCACATTGGTGACCCCCTTGTCCTCTGCTCAGCTGGATCTCTCCCACTGGGACAAGGTCAAGGTCCTGCTCAACAGGATTCGATGGAGAAGCTCCAGACTCCCGGAGCCCCCAGCATCTCCCAGAGGCCCCAAGTGAGTGTTGTGGCCCAGCTAAGTTTAGAACTGAGGGGTAGAGACTGATGAAGCAGGGTGCTGGCAGGACTTGTTTTTGTCCTTAGGAACGCGGAGAGACAGTCTTGGAGGGGATGCTGGGAGAGAAGCTCTGCAGTGGTTAAAGCATTTTGCTTACAGATAAGAAGGGTGGGGACTAAGAGGGAAGGCACTTTCCCAAGGTCACAGGAGAGGGCCAAGCCCTCTCCTCCTGGGGATTTGGGAGGGAAAGGGCAACTTGGTGTACCAACAAATGATTTTTTTTTTCCCCAACAAATGATTTGAAGAGGGTGAAGTTCACCCTTTGTAGGGAGTTAAATGCTAGTTAATTCTTCATTGGGAAGGGACTCATTTTCTGAGGCTCACTAAGGCAGATAAGTCGAGCTCTATTGATTTTGGGGACCATTGCAACCTTTGTGTTCTCCTAGCTTCATGCTTGCTTTTTCGCTTTCCACAGGATTGAGTCAAGAGACCTCTCTGAGAGACCTCGCACCCACCGGAAGACCTTTATGCCATCGATGGTGGTAAAGAAAGGACGAGGGAAAAACCTTTCTGTCTGCTGAGACATCCTGGTGCAGGGACAGCCTCCTGGACAGAGGGGTGTTCAGTCTTCCTCACCCTTTGCCCTGTTGCTGCTTTTCGTCACTGCCAGGGAAAGCTGCTGACACTTCCACTTCTCTTGAAGGCAAAGGTGGGTGGAGTCTGTCTCCTCTAAGCAGCCTGGCAAAGGGGCCCCAGTTCCCTGGGAGGCCCTCAAATGTGGCAGCTCTGAGGCTTTTCCCTGTTTGCCAGAAATCCCTGGGCTTTTACCATGTGAACTTATTTATCAAGCGTCCACGGGGCATGTTTGACCTAGCCATCTGACTAGGCCTAGTGTACTGCAGATGTGTATTTTTGCATACTTTTATATCTATGTTTGTAAGACTGTCATTGTGAACTGATGGGATCCAGCCATCTCTGGAATTGCTCCACTCTCCCAAAACTAGACTTCTGCACTGGTGGCCTAGTGGCAAGAAGCTGTGCTGAGACCCTAAAGGCATGTGGTTTGAATCCAAGAGCTGCTCTGCGGAAGAAGGCGAGGCAGTCTCTTCCCATGTGATTACCTGCCTCTGAGAACTCTCTGGAGGGTCTGCTATGGGTCGGTTCTGACTGGATGGCTCACGACACCACCACCATCAGTGGAAGGATGGAACTGACCTTCATTCCTCAGCTGGAAGTTACTGATCTGGATTCCTATTTTCCTCAAACCTGCGTTGCCATCTAGAGACTGTGCTGCTGTTGCTGCCTCAGTGTCGGGTCCTGTCCCTGGTCTGAGCCCCTGAAAATCACACCAGGACTAAGACTGCTCAGTGAAAGCTTGTCTGGTGTGGACACAGAGAACAGGAAAACACCTTCAGGGTCAATTCTCTGCTGCTGTGTTCCTTACTAGCTTTATCACTGCAGAACTGAAACCAGAAGCCCATGCTGGTTCATTTCTGGACCTTGAGAAAGTCCCTTAACTTTTATGAGCCGCAGCTTCCCACTTAATCTCTCAAATGGGTTAATGATGCCTGCCTTATCTACCTCACAAGGCTTATGATGTTTCTAAAGTGAAATGAAAATGTCTTAAAGTGCTTTTCAAACTGTTAAATGAACAGGAAAGGGGAGGTATTGGGATTGGAGGGAGAGTGATATAGGAAGAGGAGATTTTAAAGGAGGGCTGGGATTGTTAGTGGATTTAAAAGTAGCAAGGCTCCTTGCACATAATCTCACTTAGGTTTTTCAGGTTTTGTTTCTGAGAAGTAGAGAACTCTGGTGGCCTCGCCCGTGGGAGAGGTTGCACCTCTCTGGTGGTTCAAATCCATCTACTCTTCAGGATAAAGACGGGCAGTCTCCATCGATACAGTTCAGCGTCAGAACCCGCTGGTGGATCAGCTGTGTGTTGGTTGTGACTTGATGGGAATAAACAGGCATCTGAGAAGCATGGCGCTCATTCCTTAGCTGCCACGATGGCCTTTTGCTTTGGTTCTTTGGAAACCATTGGAGAGATTTCTTCCTTAGACCCCAAGGAAGTACCTTTGCACTAGTCCAGCATGACTGACATTTACTGGGGAAGCTGAAATAACTTGACGATTTAGTATTTTTCTATCTGGCCCTGTCTGTGGTGGTTATGCATCTTGCAGGGATTTGTCAATAGTCTATGCAGATGAAGTGACTTTGGTCCACTAAGTGTCTGGCCAGTTTGTAGCCAGTGCCACAGATTTTAGGAAGAAGCAGAAAAGCCAACGAAGAGGAGATGAGGAAACTAAAGAGAGCTGTACTTTTGGCCAAGGGCTGTAACACAAGAAAGTGAAAGAAAGACCCAGACGGGGGTCCTGTGGCAGGGCCAGTGTTTTCAGGCCTGTATGCTGGTAGTGATGGAGAAACCTTCTAGGAATGCAGCTCAGAAAGCTGAAAAAAGCTGCCACAATGTGAATTGGTTTGGTTAGCAGCAGAGCTGAGTGAGAGGCCTGGACAGCGGAGTGGACCTGCCTGTGTGAGAGGCTGAGAAGAGCAATTGTCTTTCACTCCTGGAAGAGGAGATATGCTCTCCACTTTGGGGAAGCTTTTGGCTTTTACCTGTGTGGTAGGAAGTGGGGAAAAGCAGCAATTGCTGCAGTTACTAAAAGTCAAGACAGGTAGTCTATTCTGGCATGCTGTAGAAAAGGGAAAAGAAAGTGGGAGAGTCAGCTGGCAGCAAGCCACCTAATCCCGACTCCAGCAGGCTACTTTGGTGTTGGTTGTTTGTTGTTGTTGTTGTTTTTGTTGTTTTGTTTTTTAAGAATCAACACCTTTAATATATGTGCTAAAATGGGAGGGAGGAGATCTATTTGCCTTTCTGTGCCTTGATTTTCTCAGCTAGAACTCCAGGTCCTTGCCATCTAGCCTGAAGCCATCTGTGCTGCCACACTGGCCTGGCCTGGAAGTGATACATGCAAGTTGGCTTGTGGAACTAGAAGGCTACATTTTACAGAAATATTTTATACAAGTTAAAATGGAACTATTGAAATTCCATTTACACTCAGGTTTATAAAAGGGGTTATAGTTACACATTTGGTTTATTTCTTTTTAGATGAGAGACCTTTTTGATAATAGAAACATCATATCCTAAGTAAAGAAGAGAATGTTCAGGATATTCACATAACAGAAAAGGGGAAATACACACTAGGTGTTACTGAAGGGGAAGAGAACCAGGTGAAACCATTTGGTCCAGGTTTGTGGAGCCTAGGAATAAATGAAGCAAACCATAAACATTGTTCTTAGGGGCTACTTTGCTTTTAAGATGTTACTGCTATATGTGCATAATAAAGGAGCTTTGTTAGCAAGATAGGTGAAAGTCAGAATCCACAGGATGGAGTTTTTGCAAATTGGCTATATGAATTGGCCATGGGATTTCAGAATCAATGAGCTCAGTGTTCAAGAGGTATTTCTGCCAGGCTTATGCATGACTGCTTTATACTTAAATACTACATACACCTACATACTGATCCTGAGCTGTATCTTGTTACTTCCTTAATAAACTACTGAACTCTATGTGTCTTGACTTCTGTGTGGCTATTGCAGTTAACTGTTGAACCCAGCAGAGATGCAGCACATACCATGGGGAGGGTGGTGACGGAACTGGTACAAAAGTTGAAGAGTGGAGGTATGTGTAATCCCCACTTTACAGATAGCAGCCTTGCACTGATGGTAATTCTTTCTTACTGAATACTAGAGACTGTTACACCTGCTTACTCTACTGAAGGCACCCTGGTGGTATTGTGTTTAATGTGCGGTGCTGCTAAACAAAAGGGTGGCAGTTTGAATCCACCAACTACTCCCCAGGGTAAAGGTGGACAGCCTCAGAAACCCAGAGGAGGTCATTATGAGTGCCACTCCACTGAGTGGCAGTATGTTTGCAGTTTTCCTCCTCAGTTGTTTTGAGGACTTAAAAAAAATGTCCACAAGAGCTCTTAAGGGTCTGACCAAATACTGTTCTTGTGAGCTATCACCAAGTCAGTCCCTGACTCAGGGGGATCTCCTGCATAACAGGAGACAACCCTGCCACCTGATTCTGTGCCATCCCTATAATCGATTGGGGGCCAGACTGCTGAGATCTTTAGGATTTCGTTTGCTGATTTTCAGGAGTGGATCGCCATACCTTTCTTCCCAGTCAGCCTTACCTGGGATGCTCTGTTGGAACTGCTCAGCATCATGCCGACATACAGATGAGTGGTAGGTGCGTTAGGTGCAATGGCCTGGGCACAGGTGTGCTGCAGGGAAGATGAGATTTATACTTCTAAACCACCATTGCCTAACCTAAGTAATCTTGGTATGTGCCATTGACTCCACTGTGGCTCATAGCGATCCTGTGAACAGCAGAGCTCAATCTTGTCCTATCCTATGCTACCCTCACCATCTTCAACACACTTGAGCCCCTTGTAACCATTACTGTCAACCCATCTTGTGGGTCTTCCTCTCTTAACTGGACCCTCCACCTTTCAAAGCATCATGTCCTGAATATCTTATCAGGGCCTATATCTTTTTTTTTTTAATTAAATTTTATTAGTTTTAATGAACATTTACAGAGATTTTGGGTTTTCATTCATTCATTGTTGCACTGAGGGCCTATATCTTTGTGAATGGAAAAAGACTAAAAGCTCAGAGTACTGCAGATACTTGGAAGATGGGGAAAAGGGTGTGTGTGTGTGTGTGTGTGTATGTGTGTAAGGGCTGGGTTAAAGGTGACTTATTGGAATTTGAGACATACACTAGAGTGGAGTAGGGAGTGCCACTGGGCAGTTTCTATTAACCCACTATACAGTGTAACGTCCTTTTTAAGGAAAAATGGACCTCCAAAGGCTTAAACAAAGAGGGTAAGGAGTACACGTCTTTGTTGGTCAAGTTCATAAAGGTATCACATTAGGCATGGTATGCCATGTTGTATGTGTCATCAAGTCCCCTGCTACTCATATGCGTAATGTATGTGACCCTATGCACAACAGCCCTGAACCCTGCCTTATCTTTGAGTCAGTATCACTGTCTCTGACACACCTACCCCCATTACCCTAGTTACTGTGTCCTTGGTTACGGTGCTAATCTACCTCATCCAGGGTATTCCTTTCTTGTGTGCTGTCACTCCACCCTTACAAGCATGATGTCCCTCCTCCAAATATTGGTCCCTCCTAGCCATATGCCCAAAGTATGTCATACAGAGCTTCAAAATCCTTGCCTCCAAGGAACAACTTGGTTTCACTTTCTCCAGGACAGGCTTGCTTGTTCTCTTGGCAGTCCATGTCATGTTCAGTACTCTTCTTGAGCACCGCAACTCAAAGGCATCGGTTTTTCTTCTGTCATCCTTAGTCACTGTCCAGCTCTCTGATGCATAGCGAGTAATTTCAGAGACCATACCACAAATATGACAGGTGGCTAACTGAAACAGTTGGGCAATAGAGGGCTAGAGAAAGTGTTTCTGCTAATGTGTCGCTGCTATGAAAGTCTATTCATATTGAAAGTGGTGTGTGTGGAGTCACAATTTAGAGATTGCCCCGGGGCACTGGAATTGCAGATGCAATTTAGGGATTGCTCCAGGAGCTCATTATCCTTGCTGTGGAGGAATAGCTTTTAGCAATGGCCACTGATCTGACGTCCTTCTTCTCCAGTCAGGAATAATAAGTTCTCTTGCTGCTCAAGTGCTGAGGTCTTCCAGAATCAATTGGGGATGGAGGGTGGTGGTGGGGGCCGCCGCATGTTTGAGAGCCCAGCGGTCTTTTTCAGTAGGAACTAATGCTTTGAAGTCTTTTTTCTAATGGGAAACTTGAGCGGGCGCACTACCGCGGCGACGCCTCTTAGCGCGCTTCGTACCGGGAAAGGCGCACTTCCGCTTCGCAATTGCAGGATGGCAAGCCAGAGTGGGGGAAGGGAGAAGTCAGCCGAGACGGGGGGAGGGACCATATCCGGGAGAGTGGCAGCTTCCGACCAGTGGTCGCGCTTCCGGAGAGGCGCTTCCGGCGGCGGCAGCAGCAGCGATTGTGGTGGTTCCGGGTGTCTTTGTCCCCCGGTGTCGCGGCCCTGGCCCGCAGGTGGGTTGAGGGTTCTTCTGCTCTCCCCTCTGCCTCTTCGCCTCTCCCTTGGCCACAGGGCCGAGGGAGCTGAGCAGCGAAGATGCAGTGGTCGCCGAAGAGGCCGAGTTCACCTGCTGTCTGCAAGTCCCGTCTCCCTAGCAACGGCCTCGGCCCTGGGGGCGGGCGGGAGGAGGAGAAGCCGCGCGCCCGCGTCCTCTCGCCGTGGCCTCGCCGTTGCCGGGTCTCGGAGACCCGGCGCCTCGGCTGCTGAGGCGGGAGTGGAGGGCCGGGCAGCGCGGGAGCGGGAGGACGGGCGCGCAGCGGGCTTCGCGGTCGGCCGACCGGAGCGCTGCCCTCCCGCCAGCTGGGCCGGGGACGCCAGCCGGCCTTCCAGGGCCCACGTCGTCTCCTCCCCGACACCAGCCGCCTCCATTTTTCGAAGCCTCGCCGTGGAGTATTGGCGGATGTTTTTGAATGAATGAATGTCCCTGGGGCTGGACCTAGCTCTCCCGCTCCCCCTCCGGGGTGGCGTGTCATAGTGAGAGAGGCGCCCGACCCGGGTTTGAATCCCGTTTTTGGCACTCACTGCCTGTGTAGTCCACGGCGAGCCTTAGTCTCTGTTAGCTTCAGGTTCCTGGTCTGTGAAATAGCATGACAGCATCACCCACCACTAGGTTCTTGTGCGGGCAGTTTCCTTCTCGTTATTCTTTCTCAGTACCCCACATGCCTAGTTGTTTAAGGCTCTTCGGTTTTCTGGGATAGAAGGAAATTTTCCACGTAAGCTGATTGATAACTTTCCCCCCCCTCTGATTGAAGGTTTTCCCCAAGATACTGAAAAAGGACAGCCTTCCTAATGTCCCAGTTTAAGCGCCAGCGGATCAGTCCCCTTCCCGGTGGCCGCAACTTCTCAGGTGATCATCTTTATCTCTACCTGATGTCATGTTGGGAAGTATGTGCTTTGGATTTATGCCTTTTGGGTTCTAACGGGAGAGTGATTTGTTACTGATGCTTTTGGTAAGGAAAATAGGTGATCACAGTTGCAAGTGAGCTCCAGTAGAATCGTTCATTGGAGGAGCTAGTGTGCTCTTCAGGTTACCATCTCCTCAGATTCTGTGTAGTGCCTAAAGTGGTAGGTACAGTGGCTGAAATTTGGGGTCTCTGTCCCCATAGGCGCAGCATCGACATCTCTCCTGGGTCCTCCTCCTGGTTTGCTCACTCCCCCTGTTGCCACAGACCTGTCCCAAAATGCCAGGCACCTTCAGGTAGGTTGGTGTGTCCTTTCCAGTAAGTCACAACTTGAAACTGCCAGCGTGCAAGGATGCTGATGCTTTTTTCATTTCTTATATCCACAATGTTTGGTCATCATTTCTGATTCTTTTTCTGGTAATGGGCCAGTTTGGGGGTGCCCAGACATCCTTTAGATTGTGAATCTTTAATTCCTAGGGAAATCTTCAGAGTGCTTCATCGAATTAAAGAACTGAGTATTTTAGTATCTTGTGACCCAAGAGTCAGCTTGGGGTTTTTTTTTTTTCCATGCCATAGGTGGATTATGATCATTATATAATATGCCTTTCATTGGGAATGTTGACACTGTACTCTGAGTTGGGTGGTAGATAGAGAAGATAAGAAGATAAGAGAATGTGTAATTGTCCAAGTTAGTCTCTCTTTCTTTAAGCTGTTCTCTTTTACAGGGTGGGGAGAAGCAGCGGGTATTCACTGGCATTGTTACCAGCTTGCACGACTACTTTGGGGTAGTGGATGAAGAAGTCTTTTTTCAGCTAAGGTAGGCTTGAGGCTGGTCCCTTGTAAGGAGAGCTGCTTGGGTTCTGTCACCATGCTGGTGGGGGCACTTTTAAAGCTGCTGCTTTGCTGTTTTTAAGTAAGATGTGAGAAAGCTTTGCTGTTTTTAAGTAAGATTTGAGAAATCTCAATGGGCTAGGTAGGGCTCATAGGGAGCAGTTAGGGTGGCTTGACCAGGATCTCACCTGACTGGGCCTCCTGCTTTGTGTGCTGGCAGTGTGGTGAAGGGCCGGCTGCCCCAGCTGGGTGAAAAGGTGCTGGTGAAGGCTGCATACAACCCAGGCCAGACAGTGCCCTGGAATGCTGTCAAGGTGCAAACACTCTCCAACCAGGTAGGTATTCATCTCTCTTTGGCATGTGCATTAAAGGGGAGGGAAGGAAGCACTTGGGACCTGAAAGTCTGGCTAAGAACATGCTTTTGTGGAGAAGGTGGGACTGCATCTTTTCAAGGTAGTGAGCACATCAATTTTGGGATTCCCCTGAATTTCCTGGCTACTGTCCTGCAGCCTCTGCTGAAGTCACCAGCACCTCCTCTTCTGCATGTGGCAGCCTTGGGTCAGAAGCAAGGGATCCTGGGAGCTCAGCCTCAGTTGATCTTCCAGCCACACCGAATTCCCCCACTCTTTCCTCAGAAGCGTGAGTACCAGTGACATGAATGTTTGTGAGTCTGGCTTTATAGGGTGGATCCTGGACGATTCGACATGTAATTTACCAGGTTGCCGCTATCATAACAGAAGTGGGTACCGTATTGGAAAAAAGGAAGAGGGAAACTGGAAAGGTGTGTAGAGTTTTTAAGTCACTGGCCATTTCTTCTCTGCAGCCCTGAGTCTTTTCCAAACATCCCACACACTTCATCTGAGCCACCTGAACAGATTTCCTGCTCGAGGTCCTCATGGACGATTGGATCAGGGCAGAAGGTAAGTGATTCAGGCAGGAAAAATGTTTTATTTGCTATCCTTTGACACTAAGATTATCTATCCCCAGCTGGACCCAAGTTGCTTTGTCTTACAGTTAATTGGTAGACACATTGTAATGCATAACAAATACTAGAACTCTATACACTCACGTGGCAAGTAGAGATTTAGTTCATCTTTGAAAATGTCATTTTTAGGTGCATTTTAATAAAAAATTTCCCTTTTATGTCTCTTCAAGAGCAGTACCAAGAATCAGAATACCCAGAAAATAATGTTATCAAAAAAAGGGCAGTTGTAGCATATATTTTAATTCACTGTTTAATATATATATCTATATTCATTTAAACGCATATACAAGGGGGAGTGGTAGAATGTGTGTATTGTAGTTACCCAGATATTCAAGTCCCATGCCTGAACTGGTAGGCTCTGCTCTGGACCATGTGTAGACTAAGCATGGTCGATTTAGGACTTCAGGGTGTTCCTCGGGTATCTTGTATAGTCAGTGACTGTTGGGACTAACAGAAGTGTGTTATCTGTTTTCTCTGGTTCATATGCTCTGTGTTATTCTGTGGTGCTGTCTCACAGGTTATTTTTGATCCCTAAGACTTAAACTCTAATATAAGACTTGCTCTAGTTTGTCATCTTAACTCTTCTTTTAAAAAATTTTAAATCTATACAAAATAAAGTTATGAATTCCCATGTATCTATCATCTTTATCAATAGTTATTAACATCATTCACATCCTAGTCCACACATTCCTTGCTCTCTACTTATAAAAAATACTGTTTATAAAGACTTGATGGCACAAAACATCAGTAGCATTTAAATTGAAATGCACATGCCTTTACTAGACAATTTTGACAGAATTCTTATGCACCCCTCACCCTGTAAAGATAGAACATTTCCATCACTCCAGAAAATTTCCTCATGTCACAGTTCTTTTATGAATATACAATCTCCGGAAAGGGAGAGGCAGCCCTTACCCTAGGTGCTACTCGATTATTGAAGGCTGAAAGTGCAAACTCGTGTGAACACGTAAATGAGCACAGAGGAACTCAGAAGTTTCGGCAACAGTGATGTAGTCTGAATAGCTGAAGTTAGGATTTGCTCCTTTGAGTTTGGTCCTTGTGAATTCTAGCTAAAGGGGAAGCTTTGATTGACTAAGATTGTTTTCTACAATGTGTCCCCTGCTCGAAACAAACACTTTATTATATGCTCAAGTCACTGGTAAATCTCGAATACACCAACATCTTCCTTAGGCATCTTCTGGTCTTTAATTTCCAAGGGCTTCTCACCTCTCAAGGAGCTCAGCTGCTAACCCAGAAGTTGTCAGATTGGACCCATCAGCCACTCGGTGGGATAAAGATGCCCAGCCTAGAAACCCTACAGGCAGATCCACTATCTTACAGGGTCATGGTGGGTTGGAATCGACTTGATGGCAGTGGCCTGGCTTTTTTTGGTTTCTCATCTTTCTTTCTGAGTTTATTAAAGGGCTTCATTACAAAATGACAGCAAGTAATATATAGTCTGTGTGGAAATCATGTAGTTTAGTTGGAAATCAGTGACCACTGGTTACTTTCTGCTTTCTGTTTGTATTACTTTGGCTGTAACCCTGAACATCATAACTTCTAGAGAAAAGAAATACTACGAACAGGAAGTATCAGACTGAGAAAATTTGTAGGAAAAGGAAGAGTAAGAATTAGGTTTCTCAAGTGGGAAACAACTTTATAAAGAAATCATCTCATTAGCATTTGACTAGAAACCAGGTTTTATTGTAAATACCAGGCTTTCGGATGTAGGGGGTGACGTTTTCATAGGATTGCTTAGGACAAACAGCTGAGGCATTCTGACTGGTATATATATTTAGCTTGTCTGCTGCAGGTACCGACGGGTCTTCCATTGGTACTTTTCTTTATAACCTGCTTCTCATAACTTTTAGTAATAAGAGAAAACTATAGCTGTTGAATTGTAAGATTCAGTGGAATATTGACCTTGATTAGAGATTTACTGTACTTATTGCACTGTTCTTGTTAGTCACTGGATGAGTGACATGGAATCATTAGAATGACTGGAATAGTTGTTATGTTAGAACATAGAAGCATTGACATCCCAGAAAGGCAAGAGAAATAGCCAGCTTCAATAGGGGGATGTTATTAAACAGGGAATTACCCTGTTAGGTATAAAAGGGAAAAGACTGTGTTAAATATAATTAAAGAAGTTTACTCCAGGGCCTGAAGAGTAGAAAAATGAACCTGGCAGGTATGAAAAGAAAGAATTAAAGCCTGGTAAATGTAGTCAGTCATCTCAGGTTACCCAGGCATGGAGAGGAGAATTGACAGTTGATTTTGTTTCTCTTATGAGACATAGGAATTTTCCTTTATCCCTCTTAGATTTTGTAATGGTCTACAGGGTTTTTTTCTCCTCTACTATTTTTATTTACTGTATTTACAACATGCTACTACTATACTAATTAATTTATTACAAAAATACAAAGTAGTATGTTCATCTTGTTGTTGTAGTTATGTGCTGTCGGGTCACCTGTGACCCTATACAAACAGCCCTAAACCCTGCTCTATCTTCTGCCAATCTTCCTTGTCTCTGACACACCTACCCCTGTTACCCCAGCCACTGAATCAGTCCATCTTATACTGTCCCTCCACCCTCTCAACATGATGTGCCTCTCCAAGTACTGTCTTGCAACATGTCCATCTTTAGAATCCTCTCCAAGGAGATCCTGGTCTCACCCTCTCGTGGACCTACCAGTCCATGATATAGTCAGTATTCTTCTCCAGCACCACAGCACAAAGGCATTAATTCTTCCGTCATCCCTATTCGTTGTCCAGCTTTCTGATGTATAGCAAGTAATTGCAAAGACTATGGCCTGGATCAGGTGTACCTTAGTCTCCAAACTGACATCGTTGCTCTTCAGTACTTTGGAGAGTTCTCTGATAGCTGACTTTCCCAGTACAATTTGTCTTAATTTCCTGGCTGCTGGTACCAAGAGTGTTGATTTTGGAGCCAAACAAACTAAAGCTGTCAACAATCTCAGTCTCTTCACTATCTATTATGATGTTGCCTATTGACCCAATAGTGAGAATCTTTGTTTTCTTGATGTTGAGTTTCAGTCCATATTGAAGGCTGCAATCTTTGACCTTCCGCAGCAAGCACTTCAAAACCTCCTCAGTTTCAGCAAGCAGGGGTGTGTCATCTGCATAATGCAGATTGTTGATGAATCTGCCTCCAATCTTGAGGCCACATTTCTCCTCATATACTTGTCTATAAACTTAAAATTCATTAAAAGTATATAAGATGGAAAAACTAACTTCCTTTCATAGGTAATCATTACTAATATGTAGGTGTTCATAAAGTTTGGATACTGTCATTTCTTTTTTTCCCTGTGTTGTCCTCTTATACACATGCAAACCTTTTAAAGTATTAGCATTCCCATTTTTTAGTATTCTTCATAAATATTCCCATGTTGTAGCATAAGCCTTTTCAATTGTTTTAATGACTGCATACTGAATTTTTTTCGTATAGAAACAGATGTTGCTGGATATTTATATAGTTTTCTTACTGTCAGCTTTTGGTACTTGGCAAAAGCTGACAGTAGAACTCTTTCTACTCTTTGACTCTTTCTACTTTATATACTTCCCCTTTTACTTACTTAACTGGGAAAAATGAGCAAGAATAGGTTACTGAATTAAAGAGTTTGAGTATTGTTAGGATTTTAATGTGTACTGCTAATAGTTTGCTACTTAGAACTCTCTTATAGTTAAATGCACATAGAACCCTTAGCATAATATACTATGTGCCTCTTACTTGCCACTAAAAATTTTTTTAAATCACATTTTTCCCATCAAAACAGTTAATTTTAGAAAGTTCAGAAAAGTAGTCCAAGTTTATAGAGATAACTCTTATTAACATTTTCTTTCCTTTAAAAAAGTTATTTGCGTAGTTGGGGCCATACTGTTTTTAGTGTTGTATACTATATTTTTGCTTTACTACATTACTATGTTTCCATACTTTTAAATACCCATCATAATGTCTTAAATCTTAGCATATGGTTAGCTTGGCTTCTATAACCTTTTCTTTAATTTTAGAGATTCAGGTTGTTTATAGTTCTTTTTTTTAATACTATATATTTGAATAAATATGTAAAGTGTGATTTCTTACTTTTGGGTAATGGATCAACCTCCAGTGATGACTATGACTCCAAGAAGCGCAAACAGCGTGCTGGTGCAGAGCCTTGGGGTGCTAAGAAACCAAGGCATGACTTGCCTCCTTACCGGGTCCATCTTACTCCCTATACTGTGGACAGGTGAGTGTTAAGAATGAGGGGGATGCATCTTGGAAATGGTAACAGTTTTTGGTATAGATGAAATACATTCTATTTAAGTGTGCCTGCATATTCTTGTCTTTTTAAAATGTACAAATGGAAACTTCTTGTATATATTGTTTGATACTTTTTTCACTTCTTGGAATTTACTCTTGTTGTTAGGTGTGGTTGAGTCCAGTATAACTCATAACAGACCCTATTAACAAAAGATCTGACCCAGTCCTATCTTGTACCATCCTTATACTTCCTGACGCACAGGAGCCCATTGCAGCAGTCACTGTGTCAGTCACCTGCTTGAGGGTCTTCTTCTTTACCGAGCCTCTTAACATTTATTAAGGGAACTCTGGTGGCTAGTCTAGAGGGGGTTTGCTGCTGACCCAAAGGTCAAGCCTCTGGTGGCACCTTTCTCTAAATGTAATTCACATTACATCCTCAGAAGCCCACTGGAGGGTCACATATGAGTTGGTTCTGACTCGATGGCAGTGAGAGAATTTTTTTTCTATTTATTTTTTATGAGTGTAAGTTTACAAATCGTATTAAGTGTTTCAGTTATTAGTGCATTTTATTTTCTGACAGTATATACAATTTTTAAATTTATAACAATGTATATTGTCTCTTCTTTTACCCAACTTATTTTTTACTTCCCTCTTTCTCCTTTCTCATCTGTTAATTTTAGCCTCCATGCATGATTGATTCTGTAAGCCTTTCCTTAGCTTTTTTAAAGTATCAACTATGAGCAAAATCTTTTATTTAGCTAACATTTACAGAAAGGAAGAGTTTTCATTTATTCATTGATACACATTTTTCTTTCTTCCCATCCTCCAGTTCATCTTGTACCATATGTCTTGTTCCAGATTGTCCATTGTCATACATCTAATGTCTAAGCAGCCATTCCTTTTAGATAGTCTTTCCCTTCCCCTATCCTAGTGTGTTCATTATCTATCCCATCTCTTGTTTTCCCCTTCCTTCTTGTTGTTGTTATGGGCTATCGAGTCACTTGTGAATCATAGCAACCCTATGTACAACATCCCTAAACTCTGCTCTGTCCTGTGCCAATCGC